CGTAATTTCTGCCAGATGTTCCGTTTCGTTCTCGAGATATTGGGTCTCAACTATTTCTCCATAGATCTCTGTATCAGGAGTTCCGCTCATCGGCCGACTTTGTCGTGCCACCTCTTCGAGTAACGTGATCTCCTGATATAAAATCCGAATTTTCAGCCAGATAATCCTTTTCTTTGCCGAGACATTCCAGCTTAAAAATTTTTCGATAGACCTCTGTATCAGGGATAGCGCTCATCGGCCGACTTTGTCGTGCCACCTCTTCGAGTAACATGTTCTCCTGATACAAATTCCGAAATTTCTGCCAGATGTTTCTTTTCGTTCTCGAGATATTGGGTCTCAACTATTTCTCGATAGATCTCTGTATCAGGAGTAGCGCTCATCGGCCGACTTTGTCGTGCCACCTCTACGAGTAACATGTTCTCCTGATGCAAAATCCGAATTTTCAGCCAGATAATCCTTTTCGTTGTCGAGACATTCCAACTTAAAAATTTTTCGATAGACCTTTGTTTCAGGAGTAGCGCTCATCGGCCGAATTTGTCGTGCCACCTCTTCGAGTAGCATGTTCTCCTGATGCAAAATCCGAATTTTCAGCCAGATGTTCCTTTTCGTTGCCGAGACATTCCAGCCTGAAGAATTTTCGATAGACCTCTGTATCAGGAGTAGCGCTCATCTGCCGACTTTGTCGTGCCACCACTTCGAGTAACATGTTCTCCTGATACAAACTCCGAAATTTCTGCCAGATGTTTCTTTTCGTTCTGGAGATATTGGGTCTCAACTATTTCTCGATAGATCTCTGTATCAGGAGTAGCGCTCATGTGCCGACTTTGTTGTGCCACCTCTTCGAGTAACGTGTTCTCCTGATACAAAATACGAAATTTCTGCCAGATGTTCCTTTTCGTTCTCGAGATATTGGGTCTCAACTATTTCTCGATAGATCTCTGTATCAGGAGTAGCGCTCATCGGCCGACTTTGTCGTGCCACCTCTTCGAATAACGTGTTCTCCTGATATAAAAACCGAATTTTCAGCCAGATGTTCCTTTTCTTTCTCGAGATATTCCAGCTTAAATATTTTTCGATAGATCTCTGTATCTGGAGTATCTCTCAACGATTGGCTATGTCGTGGCTATGGCTTCTCCTCGCGTCTTCTTTTCTTCCGTTACTTTTTTCGAATGTTCTGGTAGAAATTCCTTCTCAATCACGAGATATTCCTGCTTAAATATTTTTCGAAAATAATTTCGTTGAATTCAATATATAATTCTGGAAGTATTTTTAGCATTGCTGTACATATTTTTAGTTTTTGTTTTTCACCAATGTCAGCGTTGCATTGCAAATCTTTCCTGAATTGGTAGGATAGTATTTGACGTGTTAATGGTAAGTAAGTCTTGAATTTTTTGAATCGCCCGAAAAAATTGATTGTGTGCTAGGCTATACGTATATATATGCACGTCGTCTGTGGCCTATTCAGATACCTCGTCTGCGATAGAATTTTTTGTCTCAGGGTCTGGAATACCGACTGAGAATAATGCCATTGGTTGGTCTACCTGTTTTAAATCTGTTCTGTTTTTCAACTACCTTTTTTACATGTGTTTTTGTATTTAAATAATATATGATTGTAATTTATGTTTCTTAATGTATCTTTTAACCGTTTTTTTCATATACGTACATATATTTGATATGTTCGAATAATTTTAATGTATTTTAATTTATATAATTATTTTTATGTTTGTTATCTTCAATATTTTGTACGATCTTTTCGTATTAAAGAAATCTAACAATAATTATTTATTCCTTTTCCATTTAATCATACATTTCTCTCATTCGAATGCAAGTGTTGCCTAGTTATCTATCAGCTGAACTGGTTGGCATGCTGGTAAGCGTCTCCTTAATCCCTACTATGGTATTCTGTGGATATAGCAACATCTTACAGCAACTTTAGGTTCTTTGCATTTTTCTTCAAATTTTACGTGAATATGTTAATAGGATTGTAGGACACGTGGCCTTGCTATTTTCAAAGCTCTATTACAGACTACGCTAAATTACCAAGACTTACTAGTGTTATAAAATAATGGTAATAATGCACATTCACGTGCTCGAAAGTAACAGTTATTGCATAATGCTTTTATCACATGTATAATTCTGCATTAATCCTTAATTAAGCAAATTATTTGTAAAAGATCATTTCTAAAAGAACATTGAAGAAAAAGTGAGTACATTTCTCAAATAGTTAATAAATTTATAAATCATGTACTTTCTACGTTCTTGTGATATAATTTTTGAACTAATTAATTATAACTAATATAATTAAAATATAATATAAATATAAACAATAAATCTTCATATACAGATTTCCTGTATTTTTAAATAACTTAAAAAGTCAAGTATTTTTAAACGATTTTTCACTTGAAGGCCGAGTTGTATTTTTGTATTTCGTGGCGAAACATAGTTATCAGTCAGTAGTAGTTACATCGTAGCCTGTGGAATGGCGAACGCCATCACGCGCATCATGTGGAATGATTTCTCAAAATCGTGTAAGCCTTGAATCAACACGATGAGCATACTTTTGTCTATCTTACTTGTTATATAAAAATTCACATGATCGTTAATAGAGATAATCGTGAAATGAGGGAAAATGTGTTACGTTGTATCTGGAATTTTCAAAATATGTTTCTTTATACTTCAGATAACATTCATCATTAGAAACCGATTGTTTAGAAACTGCTAATAACGCCATAAATAATAAAACAATAAATTATCCTCTTTTATAAAAATTATTAATGATAGCTACCCTCGAACCTACGATAATAAAAGATTAGAGAAAGATAAAACAAAATATTACACTTTGAAACATATATATATATATATATATATATATATAGGTTAAAAAATGTTGTTACCTGAGATAAACAAAAAAAAAGGAAGAAAGAGATGCATCTGACTCAATGATTTTCAAAACAGATATCATCAAGAAATTCATCATTTTTATATGCTCAACTTGATCAAAATCTGTTGAGCATCCAAAGTAATCATGATGGTTATTACTTCATTAATCTATTTAATTTTTTAGATAATTGAATAACTTTTCTTTTTCTTGCGGGAGAAAATTACATATATTTTATAAATACAGCGCAAACAGAATCTTTTTGATATTAACAGGTTTTCGTAATGATGTAATAATTTCTTTCAATCTCTGTTCTTCTCCTCTAATTATTACACTTACGAGGAATCATCCCTAAATTTTTGTTAATCTGCATATTCTGATAATGGTTCTGATAATCGTGATATAACGTCACGTCTGTGTTTACTCTTTTTCTGCTACGTTTCCCAAGTAAGTCACCTCTCGTCGAATCGATGGAAATACAAATGGAACCGTCCCTGTATTTCCACATAAACAATATTTCTTCAATTACAAACAATATTTCTTCGAGAGATACTTTACATCAAGGCTCGTTCCATGGCCAGAGGCAGAGGATAACGAACAGACTACAGATATCCATACAAATTCGCATCTTTACAGACACATTCGTACTTTTCAGTTGCTAAATATTGTACTCACGACATTCTCTAACATATCGATGTTATTCTCTAACATTCTCTAACATTTCGATGTTATTCTGTTTCGTAAATTCTGTGTATTCTCCGCACGAAAGTCCGCAGCCTGTCGACGAGGTCATCGAGTTTCTCAGAAAATTCAGGAAAATCTGCGCGAATCTGCCACGATTGAGTTTGTGCCTCCGATTGGATTGTTCTCCAGTGACGTTGTTTGCCTTAAATGCCGCGCAAAGGAAAAGGGAAGGAGAAGTTACGAGCAGAAACTGTCGAAGAAGCACGACGCATTTAAATGGCCGGTCGCGTATTGCCGCGGATTCAGTTTTGTCGCCGACCTCCCGAAATCGGATTCTGTTTTTCGCGTGTTTTTTCACTGGTGCACCGCGCTCAGAATACCTGACGTTCCTTCTACTGTCCTCAGCAAGTGTCAGCGAGCCACATCGAGAAGATTTTCAGCGAAGGAAACGGGAATCAAGCTGAAGGAGAGCGCTCGTTCCGCCAAACGATTCGCGGACATATGATTATCCGTTTGCACGGTCGTTGTTCCCTCTCGTTTTCGCGTATATTAGCTGGTTGCCAGTAGGATGTGTCGTGGATGTAAAAACAAGTAACTCTTGATCCTTAGATCGTCCAACGAGTCGGTCACGAGGCCACGAAATCCACCTTTAATTCCTTAAACCACGCAGTGACAACACGCAGTGACAACCGATCTTGTCGTCGACAACATAGCTCTTTAAGTGAGTTTTCTCGAACATTTCCTTGTCTCTAATAGCTTTCACTCGTATTTCCTCGTTTCTATTCTTTTAGTGGACAATTTAATACGATTCTAATGATCCACTTTAACGGAAACAGTGAAATAAGATTTTACATTGAAATTATCCTTTCCTGTTTTTAAATAGGATATGAATAAGTTACATTGATTTATTAAATATTCTAGGACACTTTATTTAAATGTAAGCATAAATCTACTTAGTACGATAAAAAAGAAACTGGTTTTCATTGATTGCGTTTGCTATGATTGCGTTTACCAAACACGTGTTTCAATGACAGGGAATTTCAATCATTTTTTGTGCAGTATCGATAAATTAGGTAATTCGAAGTCGTAATCTTTTTGTTTTTTCTACAAGCATTATTACTTAAAAACTTTGACGCGCTTTAAATTTTTTAAAATTGATGAATAAATTGCTTATGAAATATTGTTAGTAAATTACACTATGAATTGAAATCATTCGAGGAAATGAGACACTGTTATATTTAAGTGATAACTATGATATTCTTTGAAAACTTAATCTAAAAACTTTTTTCCTTCTAACGAACAATTTCCATAATTATGAAAATGGATGAAAGTAAAGTTAAAAAGTATAATGATATTATAACATTAAAACAAATACGACTGACAAATAGCGAGTATAGAAAAAAAATTAAACGCAGTTAGATTAAACAAAGAAAAGAATATTTTATAATCATCGCTGGAGTATGTTAGTTACATGAAAAAAGGTAAATATTGAACGTTACCATATCGCGATCGGTTCAATTAATTATCTTTGTTAGATCTTGTTCTCCTACCAACGAGTTTAATTTGTGTCAGTCTTCTTCGAGCCATGTAAATAATGTCGAAACCTCGCTAACATGTGTTTATCTGCTAAGTATAAGGGATTCCTCAAAAATTTCATTCAAACTATTTCGTGGAAAGCACTTAATAGTAAATTAATAACACGTAGATTTATAGTATCTTATCATAAGTAGAATTAAAATTATTAAATCGGAGAAACATTATTTAAAACACTTCTTAGTGTTTACGTTAATTTAACTCTTTAAGTTTAAATTAGATTTTCAAGCAAAAAATAAAAATTAATCACTTAAAAATTTTGCCTACAGATTATACTGTCTGTATAAACAAGAAAGAAGTAAAACAATATGACATTTAAAATATCGAAATTAATTTTGAGAATGAATCTATGGTTACAATTCTTTATTTTTTAATAATCCTTTAAAAATGCAAACTTTCCGAAATTCTACAGTCATAAATAAATATTTGTTTATTTTGTTCACGATGAACTGCGAAAAAAACACATAGATCAAGTTTAAAATTCAACGGCACGATCATTGATTAAGGCTCGTTGCGAAAGTCACAAGTATTATCTGACCTTATGATCTATCGCATCTCTGCAATAATCTCGCTATCACGATACAACTCTTATTGCTCTTAAATCCTAAATTAGTAGCTTATATCAACAATAACAGCCACGTGAACGTAATTAATATCATTTAATAAATCAATTGTTGTCGATCGGACCGTCAACTCTGCGTAGTTTACCGTTACAGCTAACTCACAACTGAATCTAAACAGTGTTTTCCTTAACAATCAAATCACCATTTCCCTTCTTTTTATAGAATACACATATATTACATTCTTTTTCTTCGGTCAATACTTTTGAACGAATCAAGATACATCATTTCATTATTGTAGAGAGATTAATAAAAAATATATTAGAAAATTTCTTTTTCTTACAAATGAAAAGAAATTATTCTTTCAGTAATTTAATGTCGCTGAATTTTCTGCTGTTAATCAACTGGCAATCTTTTCTTGGACTAATATCGTTAATGGAGTTACATTAATTTCACTAGTGATTAATGAATTGAAAAAGAAAAAGAGAGGAAAAAATACGACCACAATTATTAACGAAAAATCAATAAAATATCGCTGAAATTAAAAGTCTTCTTTCTTCATAAAACGTATATTATATACACCTTCCTTAATTAATATCACTAGAATATTTATGTATTGAAAAACTTGCATAATATGCAAAAATAAAATTCTAATTTCTGATTTTTATTGTAATCTAAATTAATCTAAGAAACTTAAATTTAATTCTTAAATTAAAGTTACCTTTCCTTTCACTTATAAATTTGCACAAAGTTCTCCGCAGTCTAAGTACAGCATTCTAACATCATTAAAAATTTCCATCGCTAGCTAAATTAAAACTTTACTATCAATAGTAAAGTAGAAGAAAGGGAAAGTCAGCGAAATGTATTGAAGACACAAATTTTAGAAAGATATTAAAGATATAGAGAAAGAAGAGGGGAAAGAAAAGAAGATTCCTTACCGACTGGAAAAAGCTGTAATATGCAAACAATTTTCTAATTTCTCGCGCGTGCATATTTTTATTGCATTTAAAGCTGGCTCTAATCGGCTTTTATACTAAGTGTTTCAATAAGATATCGAGGTGCACGTGCTACGGACTAGCGCATATTAACTCCTATTATACTCGCTGCTGGATCTCTATATCAGTCAAAGCATGGTATGTCGATGCGTTCAAATTGCAGCTTATTTGCAGAAGGAAAAGAAGAATCGCCATTTACACGTTTGTTCTCATTATTGTTGTAATACACATCGATCATCAACGATCGCAATTAAGACGTTCGGTTTTTCTCTTCTTGTTTTCTTCTTCATTCTTTTTTGCTCCAATCTAGAATTTTATAAAATTTACACCATCATTGTAAAATATTTTCTAAATTACCTATAGAGGTAAATTATTTTTATTTAAATGACCTGAACAAATCGATACGTATGTAAAATAAGAACGAAAATTCGAGAAGTCTAATTTCAAACGACGGTACTTCGGTTTACTATAAATAATAATATATATATAATAAATTCGCATCATTTTTCATTCATAAACTTTATACTTTACGAAAAGTCATTCAGATCTCCAAAGAAGGAACATTGTAAATCCAGAGAAACGTAGAATTGATCATTCTGCTAGGTCTAGTGTTAGCGAGTCCATTATTACCTAATCAAATCTCGAACCTACGAAACAAGCTGCATCTGCGCAGAACCGCACTTCAAAATTCAAAGCTAAGTTTGATAAATTCATATCACATGATTTTCTACAAATCGACGTCGCAGTGAGTGCGGGCGTTTTACACTTTCAAGGCAATACAGGACTAGAATCCATTAACATACGCATAATTTGGCGGCTGAGATTGAAACGAGACAGCGAGCCTCGGATCTAGTGCTATACGTGATTTGCATGAAAAACAATGTCCGAGTTGAATTAATTTGCCGGCACGCGCTTCGAACTACATATCAAGCCGCGTTGGGAGCCAGGGAGAACCGCGTGACAGAGTTGATTCAGAAGCACGTGATAGTACAGAATGACCGGTTGCGTGAGCGAATCATGTGACGCTCATAGTACCGCTTTTTTCTCAACTTCTTTTTTTTCTTTTTCCCCGTCAAGTCGCACGTTACCCGGCTGACTGATAAATAAAGATGCGATATACTGGCCAGGGATAAGATTCTAGAATGCAGAGGTGGATTAACAAATTCGATTGCAAAATTCGTTAGCCATTTTATGACGTTCTTCGTTGATTTGTCTCTTCTTTTGGCTTAAGAGAAGAAAGAAATTCGTGGAATCGAGATTTGTTTGAATCCTTGAGTAAAGAATGATGGGGATTGGATGAAAGAGAATTTCCGTATTTGAGTTGAATTTACTTTACGCAAAGGAAAAAATTTGTATCAAGATTGAAGGTGCACGAGAAAACGCGGAAGAAAAACAAACATAATCATTCACAGAAGTCTAAGTTTATAAAAAAAGACTCTGATGTAGAGAGAAACAAAAACTTTTAAATAGAATTCATTAATGAAGAATGCACAAATAATTGCGTGTATTATCGAGAGAAATATTCGAATATCTTTTGCCAGAGAATTTATGAATGAAGTACTATCACATACATGAGAATCTCTTAAATTCAGTATTCAATATTTGCTGACAATTTAATGATGCAAAGTTCTATATTTACATTTTTATTTCTAACATGAAGATAAATAAAAAATAATTAGAACATTTAGTAAGTAATTATAGATGGTAAATATACTTAGCAATTTAAAGAGATATATCGCTTGACATTTTCGCATATAATCAGTAGCCTACGACTACACATACTTATGCAAATTCATATTTTAATGAACAGAAGGAAAAAAAAAAGAAATATAGATCTCATCCAGTTTCATCTAGACTTCTAATCTTCATTTTATGTTAGTTATCTTATTTGTATATCTTTGTACATTATATAGATTCTTTTATCTTTAAATTATTTATAAATGTATGAACAATAATCATCCAGAACATTCTAGATATCCTCAGACGAAAAAGACAGTTTTATTCCATACCTATCAATCTATATTTAAAAGATTTAGAATATCGAAAAAATAATCGCCTAAAAATTACATTTGTTTACTTCCATATTTAGTGTAATATTTGTGGAGTACCTCTAATATTACATAGATTATGTAATTAATAATCAAACATTTCTCTGAATTAAGTACTCGTCACGATCAAACAAGAACTTAGAAGCAAACAAATTATCTGACATAATATAAATCATAATCCAACTGACAAATATAATTTATCGTTAACTAAACATCGCATTCATGTGACTCGGCGTTCGTAAAGTAACTAATTAAAGAAATACATCCGGAGGAGGTTTGTAAATGGAATTCGCTTGTCTTTTCGTCAGACACAATTCTTACGTTGTTGAACTTGATTCATTTCTTGTTCGTTGTACAATAGTTTGTTTTTCTCATCAATAATATATATATATTTCTCCGTCTTATTGTTTACATTTCAAGTCATATTAACCGATTCGTTAAAAACATTAAACCAAATGAAGTCCAATAAATCCCATAAAGCACGAATAAGAATCGTGCGGAAAATCACGTATACCGAGTTTATTTCGAATCAGTTAGTTTCGAGGTCTAATTGAACGAATGTCATTGATGAATGTTAAATAATATATTGTCCCAATTTAACATCATGTTACATATATCTAGCATATGCTATAGATATATTCAGTTAAACTGGAATTGCAATTCAAAAGTTACCTAAGAATACTGACTCTTTACAGTCCTACATCGAAATGAAGTTGATATTCTATTTCATTCTATAATTACGATTGTCATGTGTGTATGGGAAATATACATAATATAACATATTCAGAAATATCTGAAGTACTATAACGTGCATAATATTCAAAAGTGATATAAATTTCTACTTAGGTATCTCTTTACTTGTGTTTACACATTCATAGTTTAAATATTATTAGTTAACAATAAAATACTATGAGAATAGAATCAATATTATATATATAAGAGTATTATATATATACATGTTCTGTATTATACAATAGATCTAATGCTGATACAATGTTTACTTGCAAATATAGTTTATAATCGCAATCGTAGCCAAAAGGGCCAAATCTTAAGTTATAAAATTCTAGCGATTTGTAAATTTTATATGAAAATTAAGATTTAAGTAGAACTATTGATAGAATTGTATAATGTATGTGAAATATTGGATTTTCAGGATGAACAAATCAAACGATGTGGTAGATGCAAACCAAAATGATAGACCCCCAGTATATGTGAATCATGGTTTGATTGGGTCCAGCGATAGTTTGAATCTCGGTTATTCAAACAGTTCTCAAATTCTAGATAATTCGTATGAAAGTCATCAAGAAATACAAGGTTCTTCAGATTTTATCTGTAAGCACACGTAGTACTAAAATGACTAATTCACATTTAACATTATTAATACAATCATTTGTACATAAAACCACTGAATAGTTGAAATCCTCCATTTCCTCTTATCACATACATTGTAGGATATATTTCAACAATTGCTTAATATGATCCTAAACGATCCTTAATCAAAAATTGACTTGATTTATATTCAATAATATTACTTCATTTTTCTTTTTTATAGTGGTAGAAGAATCTGACTACGAATTGCAACAGAAGGATAGTTTCCTACATTCCGCGTTATATCAGTTGAGACGACGTTGTAGATCAGCTTGTACAAAGAAAACCATATATAAAAGGGTACCAATTTTAAATTGGTTACCAAGATATAATAGTCAGGATGCGCTTGGTGATCTTGTTGCTGGTGTTACAGTGGGTCTCACTGTTATTCCACAATCGTTAGCATACGCTAACGTAGCAGGTCTACCACCTCAAGTTAGTATTTCTTAATTTTCTTGAATTAAAGACTTCGCCATTTCTATTGCTATTAATATTATAATCGGCTATTTACAAGTTCTATTAAGAATTTACAAAATGCGATTTTTTGCTATGTATAAAGAAACAGTAATTTTGTAAAAACTCAGAAGATATAATTACTAAATGTATAGAATATAAATGAAGACATATGTTTAAACTTATAATACACTTTTAGACAGTAAAAGTGTATTATAAGTTTTAAGTGTTTGTTTTATTATAATTTAAGTTTTTGATAACATCTTTCATTAATCGCTGAAAATCACATGATGCTACAATAATATTATTAGTCACCAGCGCGTGACATTACAGTAACATCATCGCCAGGGATTCATCGGTTGTTATAATGTTAACGTAATTGGAAAAAAAAGAATGTTTTATCATAAATTAAAAATCATTCACGAGATGTTTCCTCTGCGTATGCAAATTATTAAATAGAATAAAAATAAGATTGTTAATAAGAGAAATTTTGTACTTTTCAGTATGGACTGTATGGTAGCTTTTTAGGCTGCTTTATTTATGTTATATTTGGATCTTGTAAAGATACACCAATGGGACCTAGTGCCATTATATCTTTGCTAACGTACCAAACAGTTTCACACGTGGATGCACCACTGAAACATGCGATATTCCTTTGCTTTTTGGCCGGAGTGATAGAACTGATAATGGGTATATTTGGTCTCGGTAAATATCTCTATAACATCTATTATCTGTTTACGATTCATGATAAAAATATTCCAGATAAAAGAAATTCCTAAGTAAATAAATATTCTTTTTAGTAAATGTTCAATAATATGTTTCAGGATTTTTAATTGACTTCGTATCTGGGCCAGTTAGCTCCGGATTCACGTCAGCAGTAGCTTTGATAATTATTACTTCGCAAATAAAAGATATACTTGGCATTTCTGTGAAAGGTTCGCAATTTGTTGAAATATGGAAAAACCTTGCTAGCCACATACATGAAACTTCACCTTGGGACGCTGCTCTTGGAGTAACTTGTATCGCGCTTCTTTTACTTCTCAGGGTACATATAATATGATCATATCGAAGAATTATTAAACTTTTGATAATGTAAGAATGAATGACTTAAAAATTAAAGATTATTTCTTATACTAGGCACATATTTTTTTATGGAAAATAAATATTAATAATTGCGTTACATACAATGATATTTATGATGTGAAATTTGATGGCTTGCATGACTTTCTCTTGCGTTATGTTGTAAAAGGATTAATTGCGTACATACATACATACCTATATAATTACATTATACAGAATATATTTTGTATGTTAGTGCATTGTAAAATATGTGATTTATAATAAATGCTTTTTATATTTCTTTTTTATAGCTTCTAGCATCATATAACATTGGTCCCAAAGAGGCAGAATCACAAAGTACAAAATATCGCGTGTTAAATAAATTTATATGGTTATTTGGTACATCACGAAATGCATTTTTAGTAATATTGTCCGGTCTTTTAGGATATAGTTTTAGAGAAAAGCCACCCTTCAAATTGGTTGGTAAGAATAAATTAGGATTAACATCAATTATGATTACGTAAATACATATTACCGAGCATGTATTAAGTGCACATTATTATGAAATATATTAATTTCTTTTTCATAGGATATATACCAGAAGGTATGCCAAATGTACAATTACCACCATTTAGTTACATTAAAGATGACAATACAACAGTAACATTTATTGATATGATTTCAAATTTGGGAAGCGGTATTCTTGTTTTACCGCTTATCTCGTTAATGGAAGACATTGCTATTTGTAAAGCCTTCTGTAAGTTAGAACATCATTTTCATATATTATGAATTTATATAGAATATTAATATTGTTTTATTATATGCAACAAAAAGAAAGGGTTTTACTTTTATTTCAGCAACTGGAAAATCAGTTGATGCAACACAAGAACTAATAGCAATTGGAATATCAAATATTGGTAATTCCTTTGTTCAGGCATTTCCTGGTACAGGATCTCTTAGCAGAAGTGCAGTAAACAATGCTTCTGGAGTAAGAACACCAATGGGCGGCATTTACACTGGTAAGATAGCAATTTATTAATTATTCAAATTATAATGTTTTATTTAATCATCAATTAATAATTAACATATTTCTTTTTATATACATAGATTTTACGCAATTGCCATTTGTTTTAGGTACTTTAGTAATATTAGCCCTTTTATTTCTCACTCCCTACTTCAGCTACATCCCGAGAAGTACATTAGCAGCAATTATTATAGCTGCAGTAATATTCATGGTTGAAGTTAAAGTTGTAAAACCAATGTGGAGAACTAAAAGTAAATTAGCAATTTAAGATATAAATCGAAAAAAATTTCTGTTTTCAAAAAATTAATGCTTTTTAATAATATTTTATTCTTATAGAATCAGATTTAATTCCCGGATTGGGTACATTCATTGCGTGTTTGTTGTTACAATTAGAAATTGGAATTCTATGCGGTATTGGATTAAATATTTTATTTATTTTATATCATGCAGCACGACCAAAAATATCCGTGGAGAAACTTACTGTACGTATTTCTCATTTTTTAACTTCTGTTTAAAAAATTGATTATATATATTTATTGTATTATTTATTAATTATCCATAAATTGATAAATATATACATTTTGTGTTACAGAGTCGACATGGCATTCGATATCTCATGTTAACCCCAGATCGATGTTTAATTTTTCCATCTGTTGATTACGTTCGAAACTTAGTAACAAAATATAGTCAAAGAACTGGAAATCCAGTTGTAATCGATTGTTCTCATATTTATGGAGCAGATTTCACTGCAGCAACAGTAATTGAGACTTTAATAAAAGATTTCGCGTTAAGAGGTCAACCACTTTTTTTCTACAATCTAAAACCCTCAGTTTATGCTGTATTTGAAGCTGTTGCATCAACTGACTTTGTTGTATATTACACTCAAGAAGCATTGGACGATCTCCTAAAAGATAGAGGATACATTAAGCAAATTAAATAATGCGCATTATTTATATTATAACAAAATGCAATTTGGATTATTATATTATTTTACAATAACCGTATAAATGATAATCTCTTTCATCTTATGAAAAATTGTTATACAATATTTTCCATAATTGTATCATTAATGTTATAATTTTACGCGAAAATGTAGTACAAGACAAATACTTCCCAAATTTATTTTTTCATAATTTTATATTTAAAAATGCATCGTGATTAATGTAAATATTTATATTAAATGTATTGTAGTATAAATATTTTTAATAAATCATTTTTATGATATATTATATTAAAAAGAAATTATATTTCAATTGCTCACCAATTTATATGAAGTGATGCAAAAGCAATTAATATCTTCCTAAGGGATTTAATATCACAAATTGAAGGTTTCAATGAATTTTTACACTTACCACTTACTGTCTTGTAAGATATATTTTGTTTATGACAGTATTAAGCAATAAGTATCAGGGAAAAAACTTGAAAAATAACAAACATACTTTAAATATTTTATTATTAAATCAAGTAAGAATATGTTTTTATTCATTTTCTTGAGAACGTAATCTTGCACTGGCATTAGTTACTCTTACTGAAAGTTGCTGAGCACGTTCAACAATGGATTTACGTTTTTTACTGCTTACTCCGTGAGCAATCTCAGCACAGAATTTTCTATTTTGCATCATCAAAACTTCTAATTCCTATAAATTTCCCAAGAAAATAAATATTATTATGATTCTACAATAACAACAATATGACAATAATTTCATATAGATTAATATATAAAATATAGGTTAATATATAAAAACAAACTATTTCAATACATAAAAATGTGCACTCTTTTGTCGATAATAATTGTATGAATGAAAATCTAATTTTCTTACCTTAACATTGTGTACTAAAACCTTTCTGAAACCTGTTGGTAGCATATGACGAGTTTTCTTGTTGCTACCATAACCAATATTCGGCATCAAATATTGTCCCTTAAAACGCCTACGAACTCTGTTATCAATACCTTTGGGTTTACGCCAGTTCCTCTAAAAAATTATTTCATTAATTCATTATATTATATTCCTAACTATTATGAATTAATAATTAACATTGATAAATACTAATAAAAACAATAAAGAAAATAACAAACCTTCAATTTACTGTAACGATCACTCTGGTGACGAATAAACTTTTTCGTCCTCTTTTTTACAATTGTGGGTCTGTATACTGGTCGAATAGCCATTTTTATAAACTAAAATTATAAATATATTGTAAATTAATTGATATACGATCGTAAGAGCAAATTAATAACAACACATTTTGTCACACATTTTTTAATGATGTAATTATGATAGTAAATTATTTTTTAAAAATATGATGTATATAACCGCTCTTTATTTATTTATATTAAACTACTACATGTATATTTTATATAACATAAACGATTCTTATTAAATTTTTAGATTTTCTACAAGATCACATACCGTTTCTTATTCTACACCAAATGAAAGAGCCTATGTTGAACTAGGGTTAATAAAATATTTGTGTCTAGTGATATTACATTTAGTGATACGCAAAAAGAAACTATACATACTTCTTATTTATCCGATTTACATTGTGAAGATAATTATCTAACAAAATATTTACATTTTTCGTATTATGTAGTCGAACAATTCTTTTCTATTTTACAAGAACAAAATACATAAATGTATTATATATTGTATATATTTGTACAATGTAGAATTAAATATTATCATTTATTTTGAAAAGGAAAAAAATTAAGAAAGGGATTAAAAACATTTTTCTATTCTCTAAGAAATAATAATAGAGTTTTTAATTGTATATAGCAAGTAACCAGTAAGATAGTACATTTACTATTCATGACGTACATAAAATACCAGATGTATATAATATTACAAAAAGTTACCAGATACAGTCTGCTATATCTTTCTGTCAAAGCAACGCGTTCTTTGATGAATTCGTGTAATGAGTAAGAAAAATAAATGAATATGTAAATATGATGTAAAATGTTTTTACTGGAGTTTTTCATTTGAGATACTTGAAATGATGTAACATATACAGGTAAAAAGTACCAATATGTTAATATTTCAATATGATTTGACATTACCAGTGTGTATAAAATTTCAAGTATTAATAATTATTTCCTTTAAAGGTATCACAGAAACGAACTGTAACTTGTTCACAGTTCCGTTACGTGTGATTAATGGAAATTGTAACAAATTTTTTCAATTTACTTTGTATAATGATTTCAAATGACATAAATTTTGAATATCGAATACATTACATACTTTGCGGCAGTCGTACTGTATATTGATATACATATATGTTCAAATATTTATTATGTATATTTTGGATTAAACAAATTCTTTTTCAATGTCGCTGTGATCTATGAATTCGTGATCAAATTATTAGAATAAAGTTATTAGATTAAAAATTGATATAATTTTTTACAAAAAATTGTGTCAAATGTATAGTCCCAAGTTTATTCGACATACTTTCTTTACAATATTACAGCAACGGTTTTATTGTGCGATAAAATTATTCATAATTTGATTTATACTTATTTTATTAACATTTGATTCTATTTTTATTTACAGAATTATAAAGAAATATAATTGATTGATATTATGTTTTAAAAAATGCCATCTGAGATAAATGTTAAAAACATATCTTTTGAAAAAGATGACGAAGAAAATGAACCTAATGAATCTGTTACATCATTGACGGTTGGCACAGCAAATGAAGGATCTTCAGCTACGGTAAATCATGTGGAAACCAATACCATAAGAAGTAGTAATAAAAAAGTATTTACATCTGGCGTTAAAAATGATTTTATAGAACAAGATGAGAATGCTTCTTTGTCATCAAATGTAAACTGTGCATCAAATGAAAATGGTTTACAACAACAAAAAACATCTTCTAATGAAGAAGTAATTGATCAATCAAGTAACACTCAGCTGTCAAACTCCTTCGAAGAAGCAAGTGCATGTTCTGAATCAAAATGTAACAAAGAAAGTGTAATTTCTAAGTCTGCTGGTGCAACAGCATTAGCATCAGGTTGTGAAATTGATAATGCTACTAGTGTTCCGAGTAAATTGAATGATGATATTACACAAAACTCAAGTCAAAAGCATTTATCGTTGTCTCATAAGAATTTAACAAGAAAGAAGTGTTTTCTGGCAAATGTAGATAGTAGCCCTGGGAAGATAACCAATTTTGTGGAACAGTTGCCTTTATCTTCCAGAAACATGATTAGAAAGAAACAATTCTTTAGTAAAGATTTACAATCTAGTAGCACAGAATCACAATGCGAACAAAGTGCAGGAGACAAACATAACAATAATGATGAACAACAACAATTTAGTTCTCAATTTAGTAGTCACAACAGAGATTCTATGAAAGATGCTTGTAGTTTACCTTTACAAAGTATAGCGTCATGCAGTTCTGATGAACCATTACAATTTTTGACCACTTCAATAAATGAAACGCATGGAAATGACATTGTTAACGCACATAAAGTATTAAATTTAACAGAAAATAATAATAAGAGTACAACTGAAAATTTAAGCAGATTAAATGAAGCTGGTAGTTCACACATGTCTAAAAGTGTGCCAAAATCACAAAACACTTTGACAGAGTTAGTTCATTGTAATGATGTTATAAAAAAACCATTTAAACTGCCAATTTTAGAAAATTTATCTGAAACTGCCAGTGCTCAACAAACTGAGCTAGAAGAAAATGCCGTAGCATTATTGGAACCATCTTCAATTAAGAAGAATCATTTAGAGGAAGCCCAAGGCATTGAAATAGAACCTCGTTCTTCAAACAGTAGTGATGCAAGTAATTCTGATACAGAATCACAGCAAGCAGTTCTAGGTCATAATGGGACCAAAAAGGTGCAGTTATTTTTTAACTGTATTAAAATTTGATATATATTTATTATTATGATACTAAAGTAACTCAGCCTTTTACTGTTATTTCCAATGTTATTTATTTATCTAATGTTTTATACGTTTCCTTAACTCACATGAATGTTTGCAATATATTTTCATTGCACTTTTACATGTGCATGTATAATTTAATTTTCATTTTTAAATTCTTAATAGATTAATATTACACTCCTTCAAATTTATAAATTAAATTATAATATAAAACATATTGAAAGTACAATTATTTTAAAATTGCAATTTATAAAATTTTACTTCAGAGACCATGTGATACAAATGGTATTGTAACAAAAGAAGGTGTGGAATATTATCAGTTGTGGCGAAGTACAGAAGGCTTTTCATTTCCTGAAGGTTTATATGAAACATTGTATCCAAATCCTCCACCACTACCACCACGGGTAACGCACAAACTTTTACACAGAAGTAATGCTTTACCAACTGGTCCACCAGAATTACCCAAAAGACATCCTCAAAAATATTCTGCACCCTTGCACCCTGAAGATTGTTTTGGATTTGAAATTGTAGATGTTGATGAAGCTTCTAATTCAAAGGTAATTTAATATATGCACTGCAATCAATTGGTAAGCATATAATGTAATACAGCTTATATTCAATATTTTTTTTACGAATATTCAATGTTCTTTTATGAATATTGACGTCTTATGTGAAGATTTTAGTTTTTTATATTTATTGTAATTAATTTCCTTTTTAAATTATATAGAATTACTAAATATCTAGGTATTTAATCTAATATTTTAGTCGCGAAGAGCTGTTACAAAAAGTATAGCGTTGTTAAGTTCACCACCTAGACCACCTAGACCATTGGAAAGGCCAGTATCTGGCTTAACGAATTCATTAGAGTGTCCACCAACACCTACACATCGCCCAAAACCTTTGCGTCCATTACCGATGTGCCAAACATCTAATGTACCATTACCCTCTGAAGAACCTTTGCCTCCATGTAAGATAACTCTACTATAATTTTTAATCATTGTAATCTGATTAAAGAGAAAAATTTTATTGGATATATTATTACAGCATGGGAAGCAAGAATTGATAGTCATGGTCGGGTATTCTACATAGATCATGTTAATCGAACGACAACTTGGCAAAGGCCAACTTTAACAACACGGAACACTGGTTGTGATCTTCGAAGGCAGCAATTAGATAGACGTTATCAAAGTGTTCGTCGAACTATTTCTCGGCCTGACAATATTGATCGCGAGCCGTCTAGTTCGCAACATACAAATGGAAATAATTTTGGGAATATTGAACGACCGAATGAACGACTCGAAAGAAATGAAAGCGAACCATTTGACATTAATACGAGTCCTCCAGTATTATTTTTAACAAGACCCGATTTCTTCACAGTATTACATAGCCATGCGGAAGCAGTGGAATCGTATAATCGTAATCCCAGTTTGAAGTACATGATTAGCAAAGTCAGAAGAGATACAGCAGTTTTTCCGAGATACGAACATAATAGAGATTTGGTTGCATTAATAAATTTCTTTGCCGATCCAGCTAAAGAACTTCCAAGAGGCTATGAATCAAAACTTGATAGAACAGGCAAAGTAAATATATCACTATTTAAAGTAATGAAGAAATCTTTCTGGAAGCCAAACATTAAATTGTTTATATTTTCAGAGATTTTTCATTTGTCATGCTAGAAAAGCAACATCTTTCATTGATCCAAGATTACCTACTGAACCAACTCACACACGAACATTATTGGATGAAGCACCTGTACCACCACCTCGACCACAACAATCGGCTATTACGACCACACCCGATATACCTGTAGCTTATAACGACAAAGTTGTTGCTTTTCTGCGTCAACCAAATATAATGGATATCTTAAAAGAAAGACACTCAGCATTAGGACAAAATATTGCTCTTCGAGAGAAAGTAAATACGATACGAATTGAAGGCACGACTGCTTTGCAACGATTAGGACATGACGTCCCTTTAGCATTATTATTAAGGTACACAATCATGTAAAGGCAGTAAAGGATAAAATAACATGAAAATATTAAATTTATTATTGCAGCTTGTTTGAACAAGAAATTATGTCATATGTACCTGGAAACGTGGGCAGGTCTCCATTAGGTAGTCCGCATGCTTCACCTGGCTTAACAAGAGCTTCTGCTAGAGCTCCAGCTCCATACAGAAGAGATTTTGAAGCTAAACTTAGAACATTTTATAGGAAGCTAGAAGGTAAAGGATACGGGCAAGGTCCAGGAAAATTAAAGTATGTGTATTTTAATATAAAAACTACAAAAATTTATATATCATATTACATATCTTCTATATTTTACTTAGATTACATATTAGAAGAGAACATTTCTTGGAAGATGCTTTCACTCGCATTATGGCTGCTTCGAAGAAAGATTTGCAGAAAAGCAAGTTAGTAATTATGTTTGATGAAGAAGAAGGCGTAGATTATGGCGGCCCATCTCGTGAATTTTTCTTTCATCTGTCGCGCGAACTTTTTAATCCTTATTATGGATTATTTGAATATTCTGCTAACGACACTTACACCGTACAAGTGTCGCCAATGTCAGCCTTTGTAGATAATTATCATGATTGGTTCAGGTTTTCAGGCAGAGTTTTAGGTTTAGCTTTAGTTCACCAGTATCTTCTTGATGCCTTTTTTACGAGACCATTTTATAAGGCTCTTCTGAGAATACCAGCAAGTTTAAGCGATTTGGAGAGTTTAGATCAAGAATTTCATCAAAGTTTAATGTGGATTAAAGAAAGAGATATAAGTATTGAACCGTTGGAATTAACCTTTTCGGTCACGGAAGAACTTTTGGGGCGAGTAGCTGAGCGTGAATTAAAACCAGGAGGAAGAAATATTGCAGTTACAGAGAAAAATAAAAAAGAATATCTTGAAAGAGTTGTACGTTGGAGACTTGAGCGTGGCATTGCTGAACAAACGGAATCTTTAGTTCGTGGATTTTATGAAGTCGTAGATCCACGATTAGTATCAGTTTTTGATGCACGCGAGTTGGAATTAGTAATAGCTGGAGCAGCAGAAATTGATCTTAATGATTGGAGAACACATACGGAATATAGAAGTGGTTATCACGATGCTCATCCTGTAGTAGAATGGTTTTGGAGCAGTATAAGCCGATTTACTAATGAACAACGATTGAGATTACTACAATTTGTTACTGGCACATCAAGCATTCCATACGAAGGATTTGCAGCTCTACGTGGATCTACAGGACCACGGAAATTTTGCATTGAGAAATGGGGAAGGCCAAATAGTTTACCCAGGTATAAAATTGTTTTGAAACTAGTGTAATAATAGAACAATTATAATTTTTATTATGTTTACGCAATGGATATTTTTTAAATTAATTAATAGTGTTTTTCAAAGTAGTTATATTTTTAGGGCTCATACATGCTTTAATCGCTTGGATCTTCCACCATATCCTACGCCCGAAATTTTATATGAAAAGCTTTTATTAGCCGTAGAAGAAACAAATACTTTTGGAATAGAGTAAAACAATTTGCTACTGATTACAGCAAATACATAACGATGTAAGGAAAACATAGAACTTCACGTTTGTTGAATGAAGCGTCATTGCAAATTTAAAGGTATATTGGTAATATATTCTACTATTCATAAACTCGGGGTTTGGATTTTTAACATCATTACAATCAAAACTGTATCAAAATGTAAATAATTAACAAAATCAGTTGCGCATATTTTGAAAATTTTAAATATTGTATACATATTGCTGTAATCTATTTGTATTGAAATTAAATAATAATTCGCGCAATACATTTCTTGTATAAAAAATTACGTATTTAATATATTACGAAAAAATACTTAGATATGAAGATATGCAATTCTATTTAAACTTTAATGGTTATAGATATTGTTGAAGGAAACATTGTAGATATAGTATAGAAAAAAAATGTATTTGAAATTGATTCAAAAGTAGATGACTTATTTAGCATAATTTCTGTAAAGCTTCTTTTCTTTATATTTTATAAAAATAGCCTGACAAATTTTATACAAAAATTGAGAAATTAAGGTCGCATTTTATGTACTATAGCTAATTTATTCTGTAGTAGGTTGTAGGTATGATACTGATTTCTAGTCTGTATTTTTAAATATTCAATTTTGCAATTATTTTTTGAATATTTTCAGACATTCCATGTCAATTTATTTAATATTTTCATGATTAATTTACTTTGTTATACACTGAAGGAAGAAGAATATTTATAAAACAAAAACTGTTTATGAATAATATCTTCTCCCAAGGCATTAAGAAATTTTATATATACATTCTTGCAATGTGTTTTATATAATTTACCATCAGGCTAAATAAAAATTTTAAATATTTGTTACTAATCAAGAATGTTTAAAGTGTTCAGAGAAACAGTTAAATAATAGAGATGGAAAATACGAATAATATAATAGTAATGTATGGAGAATACAAAATCAATGAAAATAATAAGAATAATGAATGGTCATATGTTTTTAATTTCACATTTAATATTAATGCAAAAGTTTTACAAAATTTTATTTAATATGTAGGAAGTTGTTTGTAATTTCGTTTATTTAATTTTTTTAATTAATTTTAGAAAAAACTACATTTAAAAATTATTATAATGAACTTGAAGAATTGGTGGACATATAAGTAGATGGTCCTATACTTCAAGATTTATTCTACCTCTTGAACTTTAATCTCGCTTTTGCGGCATTAGCATAAAAAATTTTTATCTGTTAATTGTTTAATTGTTCCTCTTCTTAAAAAAAGAGAACATGTATGAGATACAAAATATATACGGGTTCCTGTAATATGCGAGAAATAACAATATAATTTTATTTGTACTTCTTTTAATGCAAGATTAGAATAAAAATACAAGAGAAATTTAATGAAATTGTTTGTTATCTAGTAGAATTAAAAATGAAATATTAAGTACTAATAAATATTGACAAAATAAATAACAATTATTAAATATAAAATATAAAAGTCCTCTTTATATGTTATTTTAAAAATTTCGTTTAAGGAACTATTTGGTTTTGTGTGATGATAATAGTAACAACGTCGATAAATAACAATAATAACATAAATGTAGTAATAATAAAAACGATATTTATTAAATGAAATACTAATATTATGTGATTGTTAAAGATAACTTGCACCTTATATTATCTGTAAACTAGTCATATAGTACGGCAAATTTAGTATATATTGTACAATTTATAGGCATTGTAATATTAAATAACACATAACATTTACAATGAACCATGACTGTGTGAGAGCATTCTTTACTTTATTGTTAAAGAAAATAAAATGTGCCTCTTTTGTTATGTTACATTAAATATTGTTGTTTCTTTCTTGTACTTTCCAAACTTTTTTCATGTAAAAAACGAAAAAGTAAGAAATGAATACTTAGACAAATTGAAAATTTAACGAACGAAATCGTCTGACCAAATCTAATTTAGTCGTGGTGTATCATATCATTTCCTAAAAATAATAAATTAAAAAATTGTCTATCATATTAAGTATGAAATATTCTTATATATTAACTTTTTCTTTTTGTATTTTAATTTAAAAAATATGCGGAACGTGACAATTTGTTTTTTAAATAACTCGAACTCAATGATTTATACAAAAAATTCTAATAAAGAAAATTGATCGTGAAGTTTTTGATAATTTCGCATGTACATTCATTATTGCGCAATAGGTCCAATACAAATGTACTTTTTTATGGTACGATATAAAATTTTTTACGATCGATCTACAATTACCTTGATATTTTATTTTTTGAAACATATATTTTTCGGACTTTTTGTTTCGTAAAAACACGAAACATTTAACAAATATATGCATAAAAAAATTCTGTAAAAAAAGTTGCAATCTATGCATACGCATAGTGCGAAATCTGTTTGAATCAATAAACGCCAGGTTATGAAGGTCACGACAGGATGTAAGAACAAAAATAATGAGGGTAAAGAAATGCAGTACCGTAGGTAAGTGTAAAAAAGTCAATTAGAAATTAGAATCGAGAGTATTAAATGTATTTTTAATAATAGTATACTACATACAAATTTTAAATTGTATACTTAATGTGAAAATATTTTCTTTTTTAAAAATAAAAGTTTGCGATTGCATGTTGATAGAATGTTCTCAAAAATAATTTAAAATGCGCAATTATTATTATTTATCTATCATTAAATAATAATATTTAACATTTTAATGTAATAATAGATATATTAATTTATTTTATGTGTTTTAATAAACATTAATATCGCGCCACATGACGCAATATTATCCTTAAAATATTTCATTATCTTTTTACAAATTATATTTATGAATTCTAATATTAAAGAACACGAATTGCGAATAGCAAAATTTAAATTTTCTATACTTCTTTAGTCTAGATTATTAAATACAATTAAATGAAATTCGTATTAATTAAGAACACAAATATGAATTGCCATCTAATAGAAAGATCAGATACTAAACGATATCAAAATATTAAATCCAAATGTTCCTTTATTAAAAGTAATTTGATAGAAGCTATACGTATAATGTGGTTATAATTATTTTATCGAATAAAATAAAAAATTGGATTAAAAGATATTACCTGTAAAAGTAATTACAAACTTAGATTCAAATTGAACGACGTAAAGCGTTGGTCAACAAAACTGAAGTTTGCGAACTAAAATTTTCTTATTATTTAAAAAAAAGAGGTTATACAAAATAATTTTAAACATCGCGATTAATTGTTTAATACACTATGAATTAATCTAAACGAACGTCATAGACGAACTGTGCTGATTTCCAAAGAAGAATATTAACGTCCTACGAAACAACCAAAAAAAGTAATTGCATGGAAAATGGAATAAGTATTGACGCCCACGCAGGTTACAGCCCTGACAACGTATGATATCCGCCGACAATGCTGTTTCGTGTGCGCAAACAGGCAACTACGGCGCGCGCGCACGTTTAGTTCGACGCGTTTGCGTTAAACTTTGTCTAGACTTCTCATCGATTGGTTTTTGGAGACCCAGAAGTTATAATCAAAAAAATCACTTCTGGACTTTAGTATAGGGTAGTAGTGATGTGTTAGAAAAGAGGACCGGCCGCGTGTCACACCTACATCGTCCATGTTCCATCTCCAGTCTGGCATAAGTACGATCGTTGATTCTCACCTTTGCACACGCAAATCAACCCACCCGCAAAATCGTCGGACAACGGCAGCCATCTTTACTGGCTCCGAAACGAGCTGTGGTTTGTGACAGAGAAGACGGTAGTGGTTCTTGATGCGGTTCACGCGACCATCTCGTTGCCTATGCACCCTACGAGAGATCGGAAATCATTTTTAAGCGTGGCTAATCAGAATAATTAAGGAACTTGTGTCACGAATTGGAACTACCGAAATATGGCAATGGAGACGCCGAGGGAGCGTGAGATTGCCGCGGAGGACAGTATTAAGGTAGTCTGTAGATTTCGACCTTTGAACGACTCTGAGGAAAAAGCTGGCTCGAAATTCATCGTGAAATTCCCGTCCGGCGGCGAGGACAACTGCATCTCTATAGGGGTACGTACATTTTACACGCGTCATTCTCATTTTTAGTTATTATTCGTGTAATCGTGTCCAGCTTACGTGTGATGTCATCATGCACAGCTGACAGCTGCTCTCTCTCGGTCCTTCTCTATGAGCTGCATGCCGTGCGTTTAACACCAATCCGAAAGAATCTTTCGATCGACACACCGGATGATTCACTTTCGTTATTTTCGGCGAAAATGGAGATATCTTGTTTCGCTTCCCCGTTGGTGCTTCGTCGAGTTGAAACTATTTTCTTGCGTTGACGTATCTATTCAAGCGACCAATTAAACTGCAATTTCGGAATGCACAAAATTATTGACGATCGAACTTTTTTTTCATTCGTCGACGATAGTCGATTGTTAATTTAACAGCATCTATATTTGAAGATTATCATAATTACTATTTACACAGATTCGTCAATCAGACCAATCGTGCAAGTTTAAATTTTCGAAATATTTGCAATTGCGTTCGCCGCGGTTTGATTTAATGAACGATTCTACGTTTTTGTTTCTTGTAAAATATGTATGTTTAATACTTCTTTGATAGGATTTTATCAACTCACTCTACTAATAAATAAATTTTTATTTAAGAACAGATAAACATAGAGATTATCAAATCATTTCAATGATTAGAATTTTTCTAACTGATAATATCAGTATTTTTCAATTTCCTCTTTATCTTTCTCCCTTTCGTTCTTACGATCTCTGATATTATGTTTATATGAATAATTTCCTTCATTCAAGATAAAAAATATTTTTATAATTATGCATGATTTCTGTATTAATGGTATTAAATAGATTTATGATTATACATTGTGTATATTATATGTACATGAGAATTAAAATTATTCTCAATAATATTTCTGATATCTTTCCAATTGTGATTTGGAATGCTTTGAAATGATTTGGAACATATAATTTTAAATAGGTACAACGTTCATGAATGTACTATTTCATATAGAAACCTTTTGATCTTGGTACTCAGAAAAGATATCGCCATTGTCTCAAGAGGTTTCTGAAACAAAGCTTTATTGAGTGCAATTGTCTCCCTTTTTCCTATATTCTTCCATACTTTAAAAGGACTTAGAAATACATACAGTGTTTGACACTAATTCATGAAATGTATAATATAAGATAAGAATGAAGTATTATCAAAGCTGGCAAGCATTTTTTTTTGAATTCAAAAACCTCGGAACATTAGTAAAATTTAATAAAAATTTTAAAAAATGATTGGAGTGAATGAAATATTTAAAGTAATTTTCATATTTTATATCATTGACTATATATACAATAACAAAATAATTTGTTATCTTACTAAAATCAATAATAATTAGAAACTTTTCTCGTCTATATGACTTAAGTATCGCGTTTATTAATTTTGATATCACAGCAATTATTTTTTTTCAAACAATTTTTTTATTATTCTTCTATCTATTTTTTTAAATATAATATTCCATATCTTTTTTCATAATTGTAGATATGTATTTTTTTCTTGTACATTTTGTTCTAACACACCCTACCATTTTTCAATAAGGTTAAAGTCAGGCGGTGCCTATTCCACTATTACATTTATTTCTGCTGTATTTAGTATTTCTTTTACATCCGTTTTTGTTTATCCTCGACAGGTCTGTAAAATCGTTATCATAAATGCAGCAAGAATTACGCCTCTTTGTGCAACATATGATTCAATTTCCAACACGTGTGTGCATCGATTATTATTTAATATTTCATTTGCTTCATAGCAAGCAAAAATCCATTAGTTAAATCTAGAAACTTCAAAATTAGATTTGTTCGTAATATCATTTTGTAATAACTAGGGATGTCTATCGAAATATGAAATACTGGTATCCGTATTTTTTGATTGTACCATTGTATCTTATAGAAACTAAAATATGAAAATAATCAATAACCAACCACTAATATCGATAATTCTTTTGATTTTGAAAATCTTAGTCAATACCAAATCCATGGTATCAAAATCATTTTAATACCAGAATACCAGAAGTCTTGAAACTACGTTGGTTTTGTTATAATTTAAGTCTCTACTAATGACTAATATTTAAAATGTTTAGATTTATCAAAATCTTAGGCTAGATATTTTTTTCCCGATTTTGAAAAAATTTTTTGTTATTCATGTTCGAAATTCATTTCCGTAAATCCTATGTTGGTAAATATTGCAGAAACCAATTCATTGTTTATTAATTTTTATAGTAGTTTCTCCTTTTTATTTAACATAAAAAATCAATCATTTGTAGAAATTGATTTTCAAGTATGTATTATTTTTGTAAATTTAAAATCATCCTTAGCTGCAATATTTTGTCACAGGGTATAAACAATGAAAAGAATTCTCAGTTTCTGTGAAATTTCTCTTAGAAAAAGAATAGCCTTTTCTCTTGATAAAAACACTGTCATATTTCAGAATTCTGTTACACTCAAATTTTTCTTCTCATTAATAATATAAATTAACTTAAACTGAAGCTTTAAACTAGCTAAAATTTCTAATTTAAAAATTCATAACCAAAGAAGGTAGACATACAGTTATTGTAAAAAAGTAAAAGAATATTCTGCCCATGACTGTCATAACTAAACATTCAATAGTTTTTATTAATTTTTATTATTTATTATTTATCAATTTTTATTACTTTTTATTTATCAATTTATCAATTTTTATTATTTATTATTTGGATCATTAAACATTTTATGCCTACAATTAATAATTTAATTATACAATTAAAGTTTATAAAAATATGGCTCTTTGTCCCAAGACTTTTGCATTACAATATATATATTTTTTAATTTAATATTACAATATTGTTTTAGGGGAAGGTATATCTTTTTGATAAAGTCTTTAAACCAAATGCTACTCAAGACAAAGTTTACAATGAAGCAGCTAGATCAATTGTCACAGATGTGTTGGCAGGATATAACGGTACTATTTTTGCATATGGTCAAACATCTTCAGGTAAATTGAAATCTTTTATTAAGTAATATGTTATTAGTGTTATTCACGTTAAAGTATAGTTTTAATATGATTTTGCTATATATTTATGTATAAATTAGGAAAAACGCACACTATGGAAGGTGTTATTGGTGATCCAAATAAACAAGGTATTATTCCTAGAATCGTTAATGACATTTTCAATCATATTTATGGTATGGAGGAAAATTTGGAATTCCATATCAAGGTATCATATTTTGAAATCTATATGGATAAAATCAGAGATCTTCTTGATGGTAAGAACTTTGTTATTTTATTCGAATTGTTTATGTAAAATTATTATTTACAATTTTATTGTCTTTATTTTTAGTATCCAAAGTGAATTTAAGTGTACACGAAGATAAAAATCGAGTTCCGTTTGTAAAAGGTGCAACAGAACGCTTTGTATCTAGTCCTGAAGAAGTGTTTGAAGTAATAGAAGAAGGAAAATCAAATAGGCATATTGCTGTGACTAATATGAATGAGCATAGCTCACGTTCTCATTCTGTATTCTTAATAAATGTAAAACAGGAAAATTTAGAAAACCAGAAGAAGCTTTCTGGAAAATTATATCTTGTTGATTTGGCTGGTTCAGAAAAGGTAACTTACATATGTTCTATTAAGTTTTCTTAATGTTTTTTCTTTCTTTTCTTCCACAGTGTGGGGAAAGATAGTTTTATGTTTATATCATATTTTAGGTTTCTAAAACTGGAGCAGAAGGCACTGTACTGGATGAAGCAAAAAATATTAATAAATCTTTATCAGCTCTTGGTAATGTAATCTCAGCTTTAGCTGATGGAAATAAAACTCACATTCCTTACCGTGATTCAAAGTTAACTAGAATTTTACAAGAATCTCTTGGTGGCAATGCTAGAACCACGATTATTATTTGTTGTTCACCAGCTAGTTTCAATGAATCCGAAACAAAATCTACTTTAGATTTTGGTAATAAACAGTTTCTTAATTTTTTCTAGATAAAATGCATGGAATTTCTCGATTATATATTTACTTATTTCTTTAGGTAAACGAGCTAAAACTATTAAGAATGTTGTATGTGTTAATGAGGAATTAACGGCTGAAGAATGGAAGCGTCGTTATGAGAGAGAAAAAGAAAAAGCAGCTAGATTGAAAGGAAAAGTAGAGAAATTGGAGGCTGAATTATCACGTTGGCGACAGGGTGAAACGGTTAAACCTGAAGAACAAGTTAATTTGGTTGAAGGACTAGATGTTACGACACCAATTAATATGTCTATTGAAGGTACTATACAAATTTATTTTATAAAAAATGAAAATATTGTGACGTGTGTTATATTTATTTTTTCTACAGGTAAACTTGACGATGGTCCAATGCCGGCTACTCCTGGTGGCAATTTAATGGCTGGATCTTTATCTAACGAAGAACGACAAAAACTGGAAGAGGAACGCGAAAGACTTTACCAGCAATTGGATGACAAGGATGAAGAGATTAATCAACAATCGCAATATGTTGAGAACTTGAAAGAACAAATTCATGAACAAGCAGAATTAATCGCCACCGCAAGACGTGAATATGAAAAACTTCAACAGGAGGTGAATCGAACACAACAGGAACATGAAAGGGCTAAAGAGGAAGTTAAAGAAGTTTTACAAGCGTTAGAAGAATTAGCAGTTAATTACGATCAAAAATGTCAAGAGGTATTCTTGTCAATAGCTAATTTCTTTAAATTGTTATTTCTACTGAAAAATATAAGAATATTATTATATTGTATTCTTACAGTGTGATATTAAGAAGAAAGAAACGGAAACTTTGACAGAAGAACTTTTAGCAAAACAAACAACACTAAACAGTACTGCTTCAGAATTACAACAATTGCGAGATATGTCCGCCCATCAAAGGAAACGTATTGCGGAAATGTTAGCAAACTTCTTAAAAGATTTAGGTGAAATTGGAGTTGCTATTGGTGGTGATGAAAATCTAAAGGTAAACTATGCTACATCATTTAAAAAATTTTGTATAACGCAATTGCATAAAACGTTGAACATTTTATTTTATAGGTTGCACCTACGGAAAGTAATGGCAAACTTGAAGAAGAATTTACAGTGGCAAGGCTATTCATTAGTAAAATGAAATCAGAGGTGAAGAATTTAGTACAACGATGCCAAGGATTAGAAAGTTCTCAACTAGACTGTAACAAGAAAGTAAGCATTCGATTTCGTACTCTTTGAATTCATTGTATTTGATTTTTACGTTATTACCAATTCTCTTATTAATTATATTTTAGGTTGCTGAATATGAAAAAGATCTGGCTGAATGTCGTTTATTAATTTCTCAACATGAAGCTCGTATGCAAACTTTGACAGAATCAATGAAAGTGGCAGAAGCACGTAAACGTGCTTTGGAAGAAGATGTTGATGCTTTACGCGAGGAATGTGCCAAGTTGAAAGCTGCAGAACAAGTACAAGCAGTCACAAATAAAGAAAAAGCAGAAGAAAAGGAAGCTGCAACAAAGATGAGAGTAGCACTGGAGGAGCAAATGGACCAATTGCGAGATGCTCATCAAAAACAAGTAAACATAATTTATATTATTATACACTATTATTATTATCACTAGTAATTGAATATTAAATATTATTATTATTATCAATTGAATATAGGTTGCAGCGCTTAGAGACGAACTATCTGAGAAGCAAGAATTGATCAGTGAACTTAAAGATTTGAATCAGAAATTCACATTGGCTCATCAACAAATGCAAGCCGATTATGAGCGATTGAAACAAGAAGAAGCAAACAAATCTGTTAAGTTGCAGGAATTAATTTTACTTAATGAACGCCGAGAACAAGTACGCAGCAGAAATTTTGTAATTTATATAAAGCAATTAAAAATTTAAATTTTTTTAACTACTAATTAATTTTTTTTATAGGCGCGAAAAGATCTTAAAGGTCTGGAGGAAACGGTAGCCAAAGAACTTCAAACGTTGCACAATCTACGTAAATTATTCGTCCAAGATCTTCAGACTAGAATAAAAAAGACTATGATTGCAGAAGATAACGAAGACGATGGCGGATCACTTACACAGAAACAAAAGATTTCCTTCCTTGAAAATAACTTGGATCAGCTTACAAAGGTACATGACTGCGAAATTCAGTAATTGAAATTCTTTGATTTGACTATCAATTATTTTAACATTTGTAATTATATTCTTCGTTACACCTTTATATTTTTAATAGGTTCATAAGCAACTTGTGAGGGATAACGCTGATCTTCGATGTGAATTGCCCAAACTTGAAAAGAGATTGCGAGCTACGATGGAGCGAGTAAAAGCTTTGGAAACTGCATTGCGAGATGCCAAAGAAGGTGCAATGCGAGATCGTAAACGTTATCAATATGAGGTAGATAGAATCAAGGAAGCGGTCAGGCAGAAGAATCTGGCTCGTCGTGGACCCAGTGCGCAAATTGCTAAACCAATTAGGGCTGGTCAACACCATTTAACCAGTGTTAATGCTATTAGAACAGGAAATCGTGGTGAGTAATAATTTACATGTTATTATTTTCTTATGTATAATTTTTTCACATTTTTTATGTATAATTTTTACTTTCAAATCATAGGTTTGTTTGATTTTTTATAAAAGTCAATCTATTTAAATATAAATCGTACAATTTCATATAAATAAAAGATTATTTTAAAAAACGAATAAACCTTGTGACAATTTTAGTTTTAATTTTTAATTTTTTTTTTTTTTTTTAATAAATGGGTGTGGGTGACTTTATTTATTATAATTTTTAGTTTATGTTTTTGTTAATGTAAGTTTTGATGTTTATTTTTTTCATGTTTTTATTCAGATATGGGTAACAGCGTACAGTGATCGTGAGCATAATGCCAAACCCTTCACTTTTACAGAAAACGATTGCAAGAATGCTTTCATGAATGAAAGCAATAGAGTTCCAGAGACTCTAATTTGTAGTGGATACCAATAAATGTTACAACTATATTAGTAAGGGTAATAGACGTAATATATCCACACGGAGCACCGCCAGTTCTTTTTATTTGTCTCGAAACAAGCATATGCTTATTAATGCAAATAAGTGCATTAAGTTATAAAATTAGTGCTGCATGTCCTATCGACTTGTAAATAGTTAATTTTTATAAATTATTTAACTTAATATCATGCACGATAAATAAAAGTGAATGTCTATCAAATAATTACACAAAGGCCTCTTATGAAGAATGTTTCAATATTTATTTCTATCAAAATTTTATATACTTATATTCTATATCTTTAAAAAGACAAATGAATTCCATTATTATAGAATAGAAAATAAATTCGTGAGAGACACTAATGTAATTTGATCAACATGTCTACAGTAGTTTTAACTAATCTGCTATCGATATTAAAGTTTCTGAATAAACGAGGCAATACTCTTTAAGATTTGGTAGGTATCGCTGTCATGAAATGCGATTGGACATGCGGCTTTGAAAAAAATGTAGAAATGATCGTGGCTTATAAGTATTTATAATTGTAAGAATTCTCTTCATTGCTATTAACACATTCGTGACAACAGATTTTTTTCGGACCAATCTAGAGAGTTCGCTTAACCGAAAGCGTTAAGTTTGTTGACTACTCTAAATATTATCAAGGTCCAAGAACCAATGGCTTTACGAACATTTTCGACAGAAGAATTTCATCGCTATCCTCGTTCACGTTTATTTTATTATAGTACAGTTTTCATTGCATGAATCTTTATATACTCATCTAATTTAAATTAATTTATTACTGCTTATTTTTGTTTATATCAGAGGCTTTTATATTACATTTAAAATTTGTTTTGTAGGCCAATGGTCTGTAGAGAGGTTTTTTTTGTCTTAGATAAAAGTGTTAGTTTACGTTTCTTCATGTTGAGCTTATGCTCGGAAGTTACCTAGATGTATACTATACGTCTAATTGTGAGCTGTTGCACAGGTCTGCTTAAGTTCCTAAAACCTGTTGCAGGCCCCTGAAAATTCGCTCACATATATCTCTTCATTTTTCATTGTAACCGTTGAACGTAACGTTATACACATGCATTTAAAAAAAAAAAACTCCATTCATTAATCATATTTGTCAATAATTAATGCTTTTCAATTTTCAAACTTTTTATGTACTTTTTTTGTAATTGTTTTATTTATGATTCTCTTTAAAAATGTACGAGCCATACGTACTTGATGTACTGTCCAGAGCAGGAGAATTCTAAACAATATTAATTTAAGATAGGTTTCTGTAAACTGTGCGCAACAAAATATTTGTTTGTGATATATTGAAATCTTGTTCCGCGCAGATGGTATGTAGGCAGAAAAGATTGACATTTTCCTTGTAAATCATTGTCTCTCGTTGTTGTAGACAACAATGAAAGAAATCATGTTTCCATGTGAGATCATTTTTGTCATCTTCCGTTTTTTAACTTTTGTGATATCGAGGGTGAAATTGTGTTTGCTAATATGCAAAGACAAATGCGTGGTGCATAATGAGTGCAATTATTATTGAAATATTCTTGTCAAGTGTATATAAAAATATAATCGTACTAAATTACATTTATTTGGCTAATTAACAAAACAATCTTAGTAAATTGTCCTACATGTAAAAGGCTAACAAGTATATGTATTTATTGCAAAATACACTTAATATCACTGTTTCAAAGCCTTAACAATTGTCAAAATATTGTCATACAATAATGTATTTTTCATTCTACTATTTAACTAAGGTATTAATGTATTCGCTGAATTTTGGATCATGATTCGATTGCTTTCCTAAGCTACTGAATCTTGAAATAAAATATCAGCCGAGCCAACTCTTTGATTGTGAGTTTTGGGCATCGACCACTTTTTCCTTACTAAATAACATTTATTTTTATAGAGTATTGTAAAGACATTATTGATTTTTCAACATGGAGGAAGAAATTTGAAGGTACTTATTGAACAATTTTGTTATAATTAAAAAATAATGAAAAACGATGATAGTTAATCAAGTACACGAATCAGTCCGTTACATACATATGTATTAGCATAATTTAAATTGTCCGTATCTTTTTCCAATTGACACACATGTTTATGTTTTTTTTTTCATATTGTAATTCGTGATTCATTTATACGGATATATAAAATGGGCAATGGAGCTTGAAAAAAGTTTGATGAATTTTATTGTACAAAAAAAAAAGAACTCCTCGAAAATCAGATACTTATCAGAAGAAGTGCTTTTAATCGGAAATCTTCGATGTATGCATGGAAAAAGAACAGAAAGAAAATCAGAGTTATTATTATTTTCATAATACACCAGACGTATTTAAAATTATAATAAAGAAGAAAAGAAGTAGTTAAACTTATAATGGTATATTCACACAAGAAAATAAAGATCACTGTTAATGAGGAGGTTGATCTATAATTGCTGCCGTTTTTTTGTAAACTGTACGAAGTATGCGAATGTGAAGGAAATAAATAAGTTGACAGATGTAGATATTCGTTTCATTGTTTTAGAAACATACCGAAAAATGTACAGAAAAAGTGCGATAAACTCATGTAGTCGTATCACGTGCTTTACTACTATGCTTCATTCGAGAAATTATTATATGTTCCATTATATGTGCTTATTTAATTAAACTCTACGTCAAAAAATTACAGGCGTTTTGAAAAAAAGAGATCTATAACTGATGCTCGATGGTGCATAGCGAAACCTATAAGTATCGAAGTAGGTTTACTATAAAATAGAATAATAAAAAAAAGAATAATAAATTCTTTTTTCATTGCATGTCTTGTGTACATGTTGTAATATTCTTCAAAAGCCCTCGATTATTCAGGTCTACCTCATCCAAAGCTGAAGATAAAAATGAAGTAGGAATATTAAAAGTTTTCCTAGAATTAGACGGTAGATTTGTATGCAGAATTTAGAAAGGCTATAGCTTCGAGGTATAGATTATGTTACACTTAAATTACACTCTCATTTAATTGAAATTACATTTAAGAAGTTATTATTACTTGATTAACGTAATTGATGATGATCATATTAAATATATATAGTAGTTGCATTAACTTTTTAATAAAATACTTAAATAATACTTCAATAGCTTGTTTATTTAATAAAATAATTTATGTTACATGTACATTTGCATTTATTTAATATCAAGATTATAAATACTTATAGCTTTTTTTATTGATCTTATGAAACTCATATGAACATGTATTAATTTATTCTTCAGTTTCAAGCAATAGTGAACTACTTAGTTCAGTTAAATTTTGTTATTATATATATATATATATGTATATATATATAAAACTTTGTTATGGTATATATCCATTTTCTTAGAGTATGTCTTCAAAAATCATGAATGCCATGAATGCAATGGACTGGAATATAAAACAACAATGTTTGAATAGCACATTGTCATTAACAGATGTACGAAAAAAATTATTTCCTACGAGTAAACTTGATCGTACACTAGTGTTAAGTGAAAACAAATATACAGCAAAAACATTGGTAGGTAATTGGTTTGAACGCAGAGCAAGTGATATAAGACAACCTGATGATTGGAGAACTTTATATGAGCTAGACTATAAGCTTCATGTTAATAAAACTTGGAAAATAAATCAAATTACAAAATGGGAAAATAAACTTATTCAAGAGGTATATAAATATACATAAAAGATATAATTTAAAGTCAATTATAAAAAATAAATTATACATAATATTTTTAAATAACTTTTAACATTTTACAATAATATTTTCAAATACAATTTTGTTATGAGGGTTTACCATCAGAACAATTTTTTGATCATAAAAGGGAATATTATAGTAACATGACCACAACTTATGATTTGTGTTATAACATTTTACCAAAAGATCTCAAAGAACCTAACATTAGATCATATAATGCAAGGTATATATTATTTCATATGTATATTAATAACAAATAAATTATTTAAATGGTTTAATATTATATTGGTATTTTATTAAATTCATGTTTTATATTTGGAGACAGAGGAAATGGGTTCCTGAACAAGAGTTAACGATAAGTTTTGGTACATTAACTCAATTTGGCTTAAAAGATGCAATAAAAGAAGAATTATACAAGAATTCAGAGGAAGGTATAGCCAAATGTCGATGGTGGTCTACTTATAGGGAAGAAATTGGAAAATTACAGCCATTAAATATTGAACGAAATACTCAGTAAGTTATTATTTAAGCTAAATTATAATTTTCTTCAAATATATATTTTGATTTATATTTAACTTCGTTGAAGATTTCACAGACGAAAAGTAAATTTTAATGTACCAGATCTTACACGTTTCGAATTATCCGATTCTGAACACTGCTCACTTCCAATGAAAATTAAAAATTCAATGTCATACAAAATATAGGAAAGAAATAATATAAAATATATTTGTCCATTAATTAATTTATTACAAATTTTAACAAAAATGTAATATCTCGAATAAAGATATTACAATATTTATTTTATTAAGTTATTTTAATATCACATTGTAACACAATAAACATTATACATATATATTTTTACAAATACACAGAACACTTTAGATTTCATTATTATATACATACACAACTTTATCTGTTTCAGAACACTTCTTTTTTGTATTCACAAATATAGTAATAAAATTAAAGAATCAAATATTATCAATATAAAGTAAATGCAATTTTATATTATTTCATTAATTCTTAAACTTGTTGAATTACATATATATCTTACTAGTGAACACACATGGAGAACAATTCTTTTTTATCACAAGATTGACAGTTTAAAATGTCAGATTAATTTTCTGTCAAAACCAGTATGCGCTTAACTTAATATTATTGTTCAAACTTGATGTTTTGCAAGTTGCGTATAAAAAAAATAATATTTATTTACAATGATTTGTATGGAATAAAAAATTAAAAATAATGATAAAATGTTATAATAATAGAAAAGTTTATACTGGCAGTACATCGCTTGTTTATCGACAGATTGAGATATCACTGATTACTATTTGTTAAAATAGAAATTTTAAAAATACTATTTGGAAAATAGTAATCAACTGTTTGCAAAAATTTAATAACTTAGTCTAGTAACTAATAACTAAAATACGTACAAATATATATGGTAAATATAAATTCAATAAGATTGAAAGAAAACGTATACCCAGTCTAACGTAATAAAGTAGTACATAACACTATTATATTTAATACAAGTGAACCACATAAAAGGGCTGGTAACCAAACAGGATTTGTTACAATAGTGGCATGACTAGGAAACATTTGCATTTCAGAAGGACTATCATTCATATTCATGTTTTGTCTTAGTGAACACTGATCCATAAAAATTGAATTATTTCTTTTGTTACTTTGAGATAATGATGCTTGTGGCGTACAAAAATTAGTTGATGTAAGTTTCATTGTTTGGTTATTAAATGATTGATTTTTTGATTCTGACATTGGACACTGAAGATTTTGTTGAGAGAAAGATCCAACAGGACTATTATTTTGCTTCAGTGTGTAACAAGATTGTGTTACATCTGACATGACTGAACATTGATCAAATTCATGTATAGATGGTTCTCTAGATGGACCAAAATTAGAACCCACAGAACCAAAGCCAGAACTTTGACTGGATGACCTGGACAATGAGGGTATATCTATATTTTCTTGCCAATAACCACCAGCAATCCAGGATGTTTGCATAACTGATTTCAATTTCGGTGGTGATAAAATATGTTTTTTACCAGCCTTTTTAAAAAGTTCGGAACATTTTGTGCTATATACTTTCGTTTCAAAAATTTTAGGCATTTTAGCTGAATATTTTGGTTTATCCTCACCCAATGATAATATACTTAGTGTATTCAAACTATCATTCAATGAATAACTACTATCCACCATATTTTTTTTACATACAAGTGTAGAATTGAATGCTGTATTGTTATTGTTAATAGACATTGGTGAGTACTGTGATTCCGGATTTATGCTATAACAGGAATTATTTTTCGTTATATTATATATATAATCATTGAAAAATTAAAATGTTAAAATTACTTACAATAAACTTTGGGAAATTGTAGATTTACAATTTACTGAATTTTCTGTACAAAGCGGCATATAATCTTTCATTGTATTTGGTGTCGATCGATTAACAGTTTTGTTTATATTATTAGTAGTTTTAACATTAAAACTCTGCTTATTATTTGATGTTGTTGTACATGCATCAAATAATACTATATTTTTTGGAGAAGATTCAATTTTCTTGAATGATATATTTTTATTTACCATACTTTTATGAGACTTAGGCATAACATTTATAAAGCCTATGATTGAAATAAATAATATTATCTAAAACAAAAATAATTGATGTTTAACTAGATTCAATGTAACATATCTTATTTTAATTTATTAACTTACCATATGATATTGAGTTATATATTTTAAAGTAAACCATGAATTCTGCATATCTGTTTTGATTAATTTTGTATCTTTAAATGGTAAAAGTATAATCGTACAAATCCATAAAAGCATAAGTAATATATCAGAACTTTGTTTTTTTGTAGAAAGTATCCAATAGGCACAAAATTGAAAAAATAATCCTCCAATTGGTAAGAATATGAATTCCATGTTGTACACTATTATAGATCCTAATATTGTGGAAATTATTCTGCATATTAGTTCAGAATATTTTGAATTCTGCAAAAGATGAAATCATTTATAATATGTAATATTATATCATTTATAATATGTAATATAATATTATATCATTTATAATATGTAATATTATATCATTTATTACAATACTTACATTAGTAATTACACAAAATGATTTTTGTTTGAAGAACAACATTTTATATTGTGCAAGCCACAATGCTTGTTTATGTAATACATTATTTACTGTATTTTTACATTTTGCACACAGTGGATATTGTTGTTCTAAACCATTTTTAAACTTTTTTATTTCATATTCATAATTTCTTTCATTTTCAGGTATGTAATTAGATAATTTTGATACTTTTAAGTTCTCTTTCATGTTACATTGTTTGCAGAGACCATTATTTGCATCTTTATTGATTGTTGTACCCTGATTGATTGTGCAGTATCTTTTAATTTCATGTGAAGGTGTCTTGTATTGTTCTGGTATACTATATGCGTAATCACCATTCTAAAATTTGACATGGAAGAAAATATAGGAATAATATTCCAAAACATATGTGGAATTTTAAAAGATATTGCATAGGTAGCCTGTTTCAATCCTATGTTAAGATATTCCAATAACTTTAAAAATATTTAATGAATCAATTAACCTGGTAAAATAACCAAAAGACATTATACACAAAATTTCATTGATTCACTGAAAATTTTTGGATGTGTTGCACAAGTATGATTTTTCAATATTATAAATATCTTTAAATAATACTTTACTGAATATTGATTGAAGAAAGTGATTTACCTTAGAGAAACCATTATATTGCTCACAATACGGACACAGCCACCAATTTAGTTGTTGCCGCCAAATCTTTGTATTTTTATTGCAAAACCAGCAGTTTACTTTAACAGGCCATCTTAATCTAATATATGAACAAAATATTATATAATTATAACTGTGTCGAAGGAGAAAGGAAAAAAATACTTACTTAAGCTTTTGGAAGACGGTGATAATTGTGACAAATATTAATAAAGTGATGGTAAATAGTGACATGAAATTGAATAACAAGTCAAATTCCATGTTTCATGTGAAGGATATATAAAAACTGAGGGCGAAGTTCATCTCCCGCCGACCGGCTAGAGTATTTTCACCTTAACCTGTACAGTCACGTGGCGTATTAAATTTTTATGTTATATTTTATACGTTGTATTTCGTTCTTGTTATAAAAGACACTTCCCATCACTTGTTATAAATTCGTTATAAAACTATAAATTAAGTAGATTAGAGCATAATAGTATGTACAATTTTCCACATCGTCGCCTATTTTATTCTGTAAATTTTTAAGCATATATCAACTACCGTTATCGTTCAATCTTACCAACCTTATGTAGAAAAACCAACCTTATGTAATTTTAAAAAGATAAATTATTAAATGAAGCATCGAATAATAAATTTAAAGCAGCATCTGATTATTTTTCAATTACTTTACAAGTACTAATCTAAAAAATTATCTAATTAAAAATTTAAAAAATAAATTAATGTTATAATAAAAAATAACACATTAATTATTTTAAATTACCCGAAATCGGGTAAAATAAAGGATAAATATTTATGTAAAAATAAAAAAATAATGGACAATTTATAAAATTATAAATAATCATAAAGGGTAATTTATAATGAGCGAATATAATCGATATATTTTATGAAATGTTTAATAATTTGTATTAATAAACGATATATAAAGAATATAATTTACTTATTCAATTTAATGATTTATTTGGACAATTATTTTATCTAATATTTTATTTAAAATATTTTATAAACAATGTGCAGAGAATGTATTAATCGATATAAAGTGACTCTCGATAAGGTTGCAGCAAGTAATCGATTTACAAATTAAGATCGAGTATTCGCATTGTAGGTTTCAATGACAAGCAATTCTTACAATAATATCACACAGAAGTAACAAGTTTTGAACTTTTTTACTTATTTTTATAAGTAAATGAACATATAAGAACAATTAAAATCAGTAGCTGGTTGTAAATAGTGAGTGTAACAATGACGCTCACAAATAAGGTAACTAATCAAACCTATACAACACGCGTTGTTTCACAATTAGCACAGCTCAGTTTCATTCTTGTATTTTAGATGGAAATAGATGAGAAAATTATGAAGGGAGAAGGTTTTAAACCGTATTATATTACTAAAATCGAAGAACTTCAATTAATCGTAGCTGAAAAAAGTCAAAATTTAAGGAGATTACAAGCTCAACGTAATGAGCTTAATGCAAAAGGTATTACAGTATCCTACACTCATATTTTTATCTTCCTTTTTTTATCTTGTATTTGCAATTTGCAATAAAAATGTCATTTTTTTTGCAGTACGTATGCTGCGTGAAGAGCTACAACTTCTACAAGAACAAGGATCCTATGTTGGAGAAGTTGTTAAACCCATGGACAAGAAGAAAGTGTTAGTTAAAGTACATCCTGAAGGAAAATTTGTAGTAGATATAGATAAGAATATCGATATTAATGATGTGACTCCAAATTCGAGAGTTGCACTACGTAATGAAAGTTACACATTACATAAAATTTTACCAAATAAAGTTGACCCGCTTGTTTCTCTCATGATGGTGGAGAAGGTACCAGATTCTACATATGAAATGGTGGGAGGTTTAGATAAACAAATTAAAGAAATTAAAGAAGTTATTGAATTGCCTGTTAAACATCCTGAATTATTTGATGCTCTTGGAATTGCTCAACCTAAAGGTGTACTCTTATATGGTCCACCAGGTAAAGACTGTAAAGAAGTTGATGTTTCTTTCCCTCTTTAATTAAATTCATTGATATTATTAAAAAATTTTAAATTTATTTTTAGGCACAGGCAAAACATTATTAGCAAGAGCAGTTGCACATCATACTGAATGTACTTTTATTCGTGTATCTGGTTCTGAATTGGTACAGAAGTTCATTGGTGAAGGTTCACGAATGGTTCGTGAATTGTTTGTAATGGCAAGGGAACATGCACCATCTATAATATTCATGGATGAAATTGATTCAATTGGAAGTTCTCGTATTGAATCTGGTTCTGGAGGAGATAGTGAAGTAATATATATTACTTTATATACATTTCATCTCTAAATTTTTGCTTACGCTAATATATTTTGTATCATATTCAGGTTCAAAGAACTATGCTTGAATTACTCAATCAATTGGATGGTTTTGAAGCAACAAAAAATATTAAAGTTATCATGGCTACAAACAGAATTGATATATTGGATCCAGCGTTGTTAAGGCCGGGACGTATAGACCGTAAAATTGAATTCCCACCTCCAAATGAAGAAGCGCGACTTGATATTTTAAAAATTCATTCGAGAAAAATGAATTTAACACGCGGTATAAATTTAAGGAAAATTGCCGAACTTATGCCTGGTGCATCAGGTGCAGAAGTGAAGGTATTTAATACAATCTTTCAAAATATAATAAAATATGTTTTTCTTTTTTTGTTTATTTATTTTTGTCTAAATTGTTTTAATTGTTTATTTATTTATACGTTTTAGGGTGTATGCACGGAAGCCGGTATGTATGCTCTCAGAGAACGTCGTGTTCATGTTACTCAAGAAGACTTTGAAATGGCTGTAGCAAAAGTTATGCAGAAAGATTCAGAAAAGAATATGTCTATCAAGAAGTTATGGAAATAATTAGTTTCGTCCTATAGTTATATTGGTTTGCACTTTTTTGTAAAACTATTTATAAATTCTGTATAACTTCGATTGAAATATATACAAAACGAAGGTTATATAATTGTAAGGAAAAATACATTAAAAGAAATTACTATCAATGTAAAGATTCAATAATGTGCATCTAATTAAATGAAATGATTAAATAATACTATAAATTATATTAATATTGTATAAATCAATACTTTTTGTATTAATACACAGATATTCTATTTCACATTTAAAAATAAGTTAATGTTTTTTTTGAAAATATAAATATTTTCTAAAGATACATCTCTTTTTCTGTATCCCTACTTCTAGATTTTTTACATATGGCGGCGTGTAGTACGAGCACGGCGTGCTGTACATCTGCAGTGGCTATTGTAAACAATAATTTTCTTATAAAGAGTATAGATAATTGTAATTCCTTGTAATTTAAAATGGGAAGAAAAGGAAAAATTGGAAAGCAGAGAAAAGATAAATTTTACCAGCTAGCAAAAGAAACTGGTAAGTATTTAAGAATAATATTACTTTGTAAGCGAAAAAAAAATCAGTTTGCTTTTTTTAATGAAATAAATAATTTAATGTGAAATGTTGAATAAATTTCATTTACTTTTAAAATTTTACTTCGTTATTTATTATCTATTAGCAAGTCTTCTAATAGGTTATGTTTTATAGGTTATAGATCACGTGCTGCCTTTAAATTGATCCAGCTGAATCGAAAATTCGAGTTTCTACAAAAATCTCGAGTATGCATAGATTTGTGCGCAGCTCCTGGAGGGTGGATGCAAGTTTGCCGGCAGAATATGCCAGTTTCTTCTGTAGTAATAGGTGTAGACTTGTTTCACATAAAGCCCATTCCAGGATGTATAAGTTTGGTAGAAGATATTACAACAGACAAATGCCGTGTATCAATATCACGCGAATTGAAAACTTGGAAGGCTGATGTTGTACTACATGATGGAGCACCAAACGTTGGAAAAAACTGGCTCCATGATGCTTATCAACAAATTGTCTTAACTTTAGCTGCTCTTAAAATGGCAACACATTTCTTACGACCCGGTGGTTGGTTTATTACCAAAGTCTTTCGTTCAAAAGATTATAATGCATTGGTTTGGGTATTAAAGCAATTATTCAGAAAGGTATAAAATTTCTTTTATCATATAAATATAATTTTTGTTAGATTAATATTACATTTATTATATGTTTTATCTAAGGTACATGCAACTAAGCCACAAGCATCACGTACAGAATCTGCTGAGATTTTTGTTGTTTGTCAGTATTATATTGCACCAGATAAATTAGACCCCAAATTTTTAGATCCAAAATATGTTTTCTCAGAATTAGAAATTGAACCTACAAATAAATTGAATGTATACAATCCTGGAAAAAAGAAGGATAAAGTGGAAGGTTATCCAGAAAATGATTATACTTTGTATCATAAATTATCTGTTAAAGATTTTATAGCGCATGAAAATGCTGTGGAAGCATTGCAGAATGCTTCTGAAATTGTTTTTGATGATGAAACAATAATAAATCATGAGAAAACGACCAAGGAAATTAAAGAATGTTGCAAGGATATTAAAGTATTAGGTAAAAAAGATTTGCGAAATTTAATTAATTGGTGGAAAGTAGTAAAAGAATCTTTAAAAGAAAAAGAACCAGACGAAAATGGAGAAAATTTGCCTGATAAGGAAATAGAAGTACCATCTATGACTCAAGAAGAACTGGAAGATTTAGAAGATGAACAAATTAGAAAACAAATTGAAGAACTTAAAGAAGAAGAAACTAGAGAGCTTAAACGAAAGAGAAAAAAAGCTAACAAAGAAAGGCAAAAATTAAATGAACGACTTAATTTAAAAATGATCCATAAAGGAAATGAAGGTCCTATATTGGAAGGAGATAATATGTTTAGTTTGAAAGAAATTAAAACACATCAACAGTTAGAAAATGTAATAGATCAAAAACCTGATATAGTAGCAGAAAGTGATGTCGATTCAGATGCAGAACGAAGAAAACAAAAAAAGATTACATATAAGAAGGATGAGGGACATTTAGATAGCTTAGGATTATATTATAAAACAGAAGACAGTGAGCCAGAAGATTCGAGTGATACTTCAGATGATGATATAGATAGTAATGAGTCGGGTTTAGGTAATTATATAATTTCTTTTTATATTTATAAAAATTCACAATATTTTCACATAATGGAATTTTAGGTTTAAATGAATCTGATAATGAAGGTAAAAAGAATATCAATAAAAGGAAGAAAATTATTGATGAAGATTCAGAAAATCCTTTATTAACTGATTTAGATTATAGGGATAAGAAAACTAAAAGAATTCACAAAGCAGAACTATGGTTTGAGAAGGATATTTTTAAAAATTTAGAAGATGAAAAGGATGAAGATTTTGAATTAGATAAAATGGTTGAAGAATATAAAAAGAAAGGTGGTCGTATAATAGGACAAAACGATTTCATAGATAGTAATAAAGAAAATGAAGTAGAAAAATCTAAGAATATAGAAAAAAAGAAACAAAAAGATGTAAAGGACAACGACGATTATAATAGTGATGACACAGACTCCGATTATGATGTGGACAAAGTGCTTTTAACAAAATCTAAAAAAGATAAAATTGGCGACAAAAATAATTCTCAAGCAATAGGTGAGTATATTGTTTAAATATAAAATGATTAATTAATGTAATAAACACGAAGCATAATGTAACTATATTTATAATATACAGATGTAAAATCAAAGAAAAGGAAACGTTTATCAGAAGAAGATTTAGCATTAGGATCATTGTTAGTTCAAAGTAAAAAAACGCGAAGGGATTTAATAGATTCAGCCTGGAATAGATATGCGTTTAACGATGAAAAATTACCAGATTGGTTTGTACAAGATGAAGAAAAACACATGAAAAATGTAATGCCAGTACCTAAAGAATTTGTTGATGAATATAAAAAACGTATTGAGGATTTAAATGTTAGACCAATCAAGAAGATAATAGAGGCAAAATCAAGGAAAAAGCGTAGAGCAATACGTAAATTAGAAAAAGCAAAGAAAAAGGTAGAAGCAATAATGGATAATATTGATATTAGTGATAGAGAAAAAGCGAAACAAGTACAAGCGTAAGTACAAGTTCTTAATTACAACAATTATATTTTTGTATGATATATAATTATAATTCTTTCTGTAGGTTGTATAGAAAAGCCCATAAAGAACCGAAAAAGAATGTTACTTACGTAGTTATGAAAAAACACATGGCACAGAAGAAAGCAGTAAGACCACCTGGTGTTAAAGGACGTTATAAAGTAGTTGATCCAAGAATGAAGAAAGATTTACGTGCGGCGAAAGCGAAGGAAAAAACTAAAGGACGTGGAAAGAAAAATCATGGTGGTAAACCATCACGAAGGAAATCTAAAACTGAAAAGAAAACAAAATAATTTATTTTATATAAATTAAATGAAATTAATTTAGTATTAATAGATACACAAAATGATAGTGATCTTTAAATATCTCGTAAAATTTTTCATGCAATGCGATAAAAATGTGGGAAAACATATTAATTTGCATACAAATGCAAATTGTAAATAGCGCAGTTTGTACATAAATATATATTGTGTGTGTAATTTACACACATTTTTATCATTAAACCAGTTTCATACATTGTGTATTTATATTTACTTACACTTCTACAAAATTAAATAAATAATTAAGATTTGCAAATTGAGAAAAAAGTTTATGTTTATCAATATACATTTAATTATCTCCTATTATATTTAATTATATCTCTTAATATATATTTAATTATATCTTATTTAAAATAAAAAAGAGAATACAAACGTTCATACCGAAATGGAACCTAGTATGATTCATAAAGTGATATGAAGTTAAATGAATTCCACTATCTACCTATTCAATACGTAATCTCTCACCATGATAAACTTAGAATTACACTTCCTCTCCTTCTCTGTGCTTCCACTATTAACGGTATTCTTCCTGGATGTATTCCATGCATCGAATATTCTGATGCAATTGTGGCTGCGTAGTGTCGGAACGCCGCGGTCGATGTCAAGGGCAAGGCCGATGGCATTTGGAAAGATTGTTTGACGCCGTTGCAATGAAAGTGGCATCGATGAAAGTTTTTTTGGCTCATCGCCAAAAATCGCATCATCGCCTTCTGGCTTTATCATTGATGTGGTTTCTAGAAATATATATGTACACACATGTATATTTCCTGCCACGAATCTTCTATCACGTCTTTTTCTTATTGATTTACTTGTCATCCGAAAATTTCTTGTTATTAAAAAATTCTTTTAAGTGGCCAGAAATATCAACAATGATGTAACTATGCAAAGGTGATCCTTTGCAGCGGTCGATATCAAGGCCAAGCTAGTGACACCTAGATTTCATAATACGATGAAATGCAATATCTTTGGTACATAGTAGCGAGTCCATTGAAAGTCAATAGATTTTGATTACGTATTTCTAGATTTTATTAAAAGCATTTTTTAACATACGATTTTATTGCGATGTTGGGATTTCCTTAAAACACGTCTCATTGATGTTAAAGCGGAACTGCCTTTAAATTTTCAAATGATAACAATCTTTCTTACGTTTGTTAATATTTACTTATTTTTGTTATCTCTTCGGAAAGTTGTGATTAGATCAATTATAAAGGATGCGCCAATAGATTTCAGACGTGATAATATCCACTTGCTCCAATTTGCCTAGCGCCAAGTTTGTATTCGGCGCCAAACACTTGTAGGCATTGTAACGATGCTCGTCAACGGTGTGCCGTCAACTGATTGATGATTTTCAATTGAAGAATTCTTTCCAATTGTTTTTTTCCTAAGTCAGTAAGTATATTTTTATTCTGAAATCTATCTTGAAATGAATATATATATATATATATATATATATATATATATTCCGTAGTTTTTTCATATAATATCGTATAATATCATATATATTAATTGCGTTTTAACATAGAGGTTAGTTATAAAAAATGCAAGCATATAAAGAAGTATATAGTATATAAACATACGAAAATTATTTGTTTATATTATGAAACAATATTCTAAATACAATTAGGTTATTGATTTCTTTTATTGAATGGCCTACAGACATCGGATCTGAAAGTTGAACTTCGTAAATTCTGAAACCTTCAACTAATCCAATGATTTGTAACTCGAGTTACGACTGAGAAATTGCGCCAAAAATACTGGTAATTGAGAAATAGGTTATTCTGTAATATGACAAGCATATTTGATGAAATGTATTTTCTAACGATTATTTATTATTGTAATTGTGTGATAACGATATTCATTTTTTTTAAATTTCGAGTATTGATAAAATATTGTACTTGTTTACAGTGATCTTTTTCAGTAACATGTTAGTCGGTCAAGTTTTCTGGCTTAGGCTCTTTTATGAAAGGTTGTCGATGTGTCTGTATATCTTTACGCGGTTGGCGCTTACGTCAAGGGCGACCTCGACTTTCCACCGTCCCTAATCTGTACGAGAATCGTTTGCGAGACAAGCATTTTATTTCCGTTGTATGTGACGCCAGATATGTAGAAGTTTTAAGACTTTGTAATCTTTTTACGAATACATTTTACGAATAGTTCATTTTTTCTTTTATCAATTACACAGCGTCATTAGTTAATTCGTTAAATGTAGTAGATAGAAATCCTATTCAATTTATTACACTATTGTTATTTGGGCAGTTAATTAAAATACATTCAATCGTAGTTTCAATTGGCAGCAGTTCAGACAAAACTTCTCTTCTATATTGCAGTAATATCACCCACGTCCTTTTGAAAAGGTAACTGTATGTTGGAATCTTCCCTTTGTTTGTTGGAATCTATATTGTTACTTCCACGTGTAACCTTGAACCTATAAATCAAAAACCAGTAATTGAATGAATAACGTCGAACTGAAAAAAAGATGCGATGATTGATAGTAAAAGTAAGTATTGCAAGGATACGGATCAGAATGAACCAGACATTTGAAGCGAGATCGAGATATAGGGGAAAAAGATAGAGAAGCTATGATGATGAGGGTAGATGCAGCGAGACAAGGGCTGACGCGCGGTAATTGAGAATCGTTAACGCGTCCTCGAGGGAGATCGAGCGACTGGATTTTGTTAGGTCCTCTCTTACTCTCCTGCGTCGTTACCATCAGCCTGTCTTCCTTTTCTCGTCCCGGCTTCCTAGCCACGGCGTTGGTGACCTTCAACCGATCAAGAGTGGATGGACCTCGTTGGCCAGCGGGCCGAGGTATAAGGTCAAGGTTGCTGTCGTCGGTGTGCACGGGATATGCGACCTCCGAATGCATCGAGCGAGATGCGCGCGCAATCGACGCATGCGCGCTGCCAGCCGGCTTGTCATGCGTCGCAACGTGTCGCGCAAGTCATTGCCAAGGTCTTCACTGGTCACGGGCAAACCGTTATAAGTAGCGATGGGCACGAACTGAAATACAATTTTTTGATATATATCATTAAATATTTTTTTAGAATGTTGGCTTGAATATTTTGACGATTAAACATATTATGCATTTGCATTGTACATGTATTTTTAATGACGTTGCAATTTTTTATGAATGAAGTTGTTTGATTATTATATAGGTTATGATTGTTACATAGGTTATGAATGAAGTTAGTAACTGAAATATTCAAATGTCGACTGATATATATTAATCGCATAGTCGATCGATATATCGCACATAGTGTAATAGGATATACTTCCAATAAGAAATCGAATTCGTAATAGAACAAATATATAAAAAAAGTAATGTTAATTAGTAAGAAAGATTATTTTAAGATTTATGTTACATTTGTTTTAACTAATTTTACAGAATCAAAATATGAAATTACGAGAATATCGATTCCATCACTAGTCGTAAGTTGCCGGTTGAGACTGATGCAAGGTCGTCGACGATTGTTTCAGGGTAAGCTGTACTATTAACGCCTATCCCGCTAAAGCATTTTCTACATTCTACATTGTGTCATGAATTTAGAACTGCAATTACAATCATTGAGAGTTATTGATTAATACAAAAACTTTGCAACCTTTTAAGATATAAAAAGGAATGAATGCAAACATAGACTGATATTTGAATGTATTTTGTAACAATCCCTTTTTTTCTAATATATTTGCTAGTAGTTTTTATAATGATATTTGTAAAGAAAAAGAAACATTATATATCAGTCCTTATCTCATTGTCAGTAAAGATCATAGGAAAAAAGATCTAAATATTTGTGATAAGTCTCCTATAATATAAAGTGGCGAAGTATTCTTAAAAATACTACAATCTCTTCTCTGAGAGAAGCCTACTTATATCTATGTCTATGTCTGAGAGAGAAACCTACTTATATCTATATTTTACAATGCATTTACTGCTTGAATATACTTTTTATGAACTTGTATAAATCTGTTGTTGATAAGAATGTTTTTTGTTATATATATATATATATATATATATATATATATATATATACATATTATTATTATTTGGAGAATTTTTTTTCAATACAAGTCATGAAATTAAAAAAATGAATAAATTTTTTTATAAAAAGAGTAATTATACTAATTTATGTTTTTTTTTATTATTTTTGAGACTTCAAGAAAAGGGAGTTATGAAAGAAATAAACATGCGCCTCGCGACGCCTGTGTCACGACACCTGGCGTACATCCATGGCCAAGGTCCTCCCCGGTCACGGGCAACCCGTTATACGTAGTTGGAGCTAACACTTGCTCGAGGTCGCCCATGACTGTCTTACTCGCCCTAAGGCTCGGAAAAAGTTAATCTCCAAGCAGAGCTATCTAATATGCAACATAGAGATGAACATTTTAATGATTTCACTTTGAATTGAAACATTTACATGCAGATCTTTATATATTAAAGGTAAAAAGAAAGTTTAATTATAATTGATAAATAGGTTGTTTAAGTTATGAGTAATGTAAATTGTTTAAATTTGATTGAAACTAGAAAGTAGTTTTGAGTCTAATTTAATAATCTAAAATGTAACACTGATGTCAGACTACTGTACCTGTAATTGTTTAAGACTTTTTTTGTACTAAATCATTACATTTTAATTTGATTATTATTTATTAGCATTGATTATGAGATTTGAGAAGTTGTTAGAAACTGAGTCGAGGCCGGGTCACTGTTTAAGGTTGAAAGATTGCCTATTATTAGATAATTTTCGACTTAATAGAAAATTAATTTTTCTTGTATATTATCTAATTGTAAAAAGTATAAGTATACGTGTATGTTCAAACATAGAAGTTGCTTATGTACACCAAAAATAAGTAAATTCAATAATTAGTGAGGTAATTTCTGCGAGTAAGTTCAAACATGTTTTCATTAAATGACAAATAATACATCTATCAATATTTTCTCTGCGTTGAAAGTTGAAAACTTTTACTCACTATATGATATATTACAGGTTACGACATACTTCTTAGAAAATTTCTTTTTCGAGATTCAGTTTTACGGATTATGAAAAGCAAGATAGGAGAAAGCTTAGTAGAACGACTTAAAAGTAAATTCTCTTCCATGTCCTTAGATTTCCGGTTCTTCTCTTTTTTCTTCTTTACCTGAAAGAGATATCGCCGGTACCTATTCTTTTCTCACGATAGAAAAGAGTTTGAGAGTTGATGTTGGGCTGTCCGGGGGTGGCAAGTTCAAGGTAGCCATGTCCGGGTCACGTCCGGGCATGCTAACCCAAATACGATTACGGTCTAAGTACAGTGGAGAGTCGAGACAACAAAGTTGAGATCCAGTTGGAGTTTGCTAGGCCAATGGAACAAGGATCTAGTCCAATTCCCCTTTCAGAATTACACTCCCGAGCGAACCTGCGGCTTCTTTGATCCACCGCAATGTTTGAAAGGTTTCGCGCATTTCGCATAAAGATTTCGCCATCAATGCTAATCACGTGAAAATTTTTAATCACGAAGGAAAAATTGAACTGTTTTCCCAATTTGATGAAATTGTACTTCCTGTAATTTTAATGTTGCTCCTTCTTGTTTTCAGATATCTTATTGAAAGGTATTGTTTGTTTTTTTTTCTTTATTTTTTCTATTCGAAAGATTTTATTGTTTTCTCTGTTATTTTTCATATGTAATCCGACATTCTTGGACCTCGGTTCAATTCATCGCGCGCATTTTAATTATTTTCGCTTTGCAACTGCATTATATTGGCAAAAGAGCAATAATACATAGTAATATATAGTAATTGCAGATCGTTTCATGTCGATTACTTTGAACATTGAGTCTCTGTAAATTATAAGTATAATTTCATTCTTGCTTGCAACAAAATCATTTGTGATATGACGAAAATTGAATTGAATGTGAATTCATTAATTAATCAGAGTTAAAATTCATGTATAAACAAAGAGAATCATTTTGTATTTAAATCGTTCTATCAATTTCAATCTTCTTTATAAAGATACAAAATTTTAATGTTTGCATATCCACGTATAATATCCAAAGGTATGTGTATATACTTATGCGTGTGTTTATTCAGAAGGATGCAATGTGCTGCAAGTTACGCGCGTCGTCATTGCGCTTAGTCACGAGGATTATCGCCTTGTAATAATGTCACCAAGACGTCTCATTACGGAACGGCCACTGAACACGCGACTCTTAGAAAAGAAGCAAACCAAATGAGAAAACATTCTTGTTTATCACTTCTTCGAATTTAACCATCTGATTCGTACGTTGTTATAGATGTTCATGTCGTGTGACATTGTTGAAATATTCAACACTTAATAATAATTAATGGTCTTATATGTTCTTGTGACGAATCTAAATTGCAAAATATCCGTTATTTCTCATACATACGAGTAATATTCTCATAACCCTATTAATAATATACTCTTACAATGTTACTATTATTGACTATCTTACCGCTAAAATCAATGAAATTTTATTTCATTCATGATTCTTCCAACGACTCGATCATCTTTTTTCTGACTTTTACTAGAAAGAATTCAAGGAGATTTCTATCTAACAAACCCTACACGTTTCATTTTCAGTCGAATCACGATTACACGAATGAATGGGAGTTTCGTGAGTGGCTTTCGATTAAAGTGACCAGAGCGGTTGATCAGTCGTAGTTAGTCTTGCGGGAGGCAAAGTTTGTCGACGGATTTCCTTCCCGGAAATCACTTGGTTTGCCCACCATCCGGCCGATGTTCACGTCTCTCCTCGGAGTTGGAAAATACATTCGCCCTCTTTTCCTATTTTCCGCGTGGGACGTGCATTCAAGCGCGGTAACCTTGAACTTCATCCGCCTCCTCGACTGTTTCTCTCTCTCTCTCTCTCTCTCTCTCTCTCTCTCTCTCTGTTCTTCTCTCTCCTTTTAACTATGGTCTCTCTTCTCTCTTCCTTGTCAGCGTACTATCTTTCCTTTCTTTCTCCCTTTCTCTCTCTTTCCTTTTTAACTACCCTGTTCCGTTCTCGTTCTCTCTCTGGTTTTCTATAAACAACTTTTCTATTTTTCTCCTCTCTCTTATCTCTCTATCAGCGTACGCTGTTTTCCTCTCCTTTACCCTCTCTCGTATGATCCACTGACGTCACGGCTATCGACCCGAAATCCCGAGGCTGGCTCTGTGTATCTATACTTGCATACACGTGGAGGATTCGCACGTGTACATTTGCTTTTGATATGATCTTCTGTTTAATGCGTCTTTCTGTACATTCCACGCACACCTCTTATGCCGTTGCAAAGTAAATTCGCCATATCACCAAATAATATTGTATCAATTTGTCATTTGCACGATTTATTTGGGATTTACAAATTAATTCTACGGTTTGATTGGATTGGAATATGTAGAACAACGAATGACATTTATGATTATGTGCTTTTAATTATGATATTACGCTTTAATTATAATTATGACATTATGCTCTGATATTACTTTAAAAATGTTTTATAAAATTAGGCGCTGTAAGAAAATTTGATTTTTATTACAAAATTTAAATTTGTTCTGTAAAATGTAATTGAATTAAATTAACTTATTTTCATAAAAAGATAGAAAATTGAATTATACTACCAATTGTATGTATAGTTAAAATGATATTATATCAATTATGTATTAATATATCTCGTGATAACTTTGCAGGAGTGTATCAATGTGAAAGACGATAAAAACAAAGTAATTTTCAAAATTGCAAGCGCATGTGATCTCTGAAATTACATCGTAAAGGTAAAAATTACTTTTTCGCTCCTGATTATCTCATTTTTTTATGCATGTATCTATTCATGTTAAGGACAAAATTTTACATCTTTCAATATCTCCCTTCTATCTTTTTCTATGATTTCCACCTTAATTACTAATGGACACTTTAATCACAAGTAAAAGATTTATTATTATAATATAATAACATTGATTTTAATAGACTATTAAATATATAATGGAATAGTGGCATGCACGAGAGTAAAGTAAGTAACAGCATAATTTTTGAACAAAATTTATAATTGAAAAATATACTGGAAAAATTCTTTATCTTTACGCCAATTTTTAAGACACAGATGAGATAAAAACAGTTCTTCTGAACTTATGAAAAGGCTATCATTATTAGTTCAAATAGTAGCATCTCTGAATACCATCACGTGTTCAATTTTAATACAGTTTCTACCAATTTTACTATTTATTATTGAATGATCGTATAAGAACATGACATTTTCTTTAGCCGTCAGTTTCTCATAAATTTGTATATTTTACACTTATGATTTTATGATCTTTCGTAACACACTCGTAACACAATTACGTTTAATTGCAGATGATTCATCGAAGTAGTTGGAATTTGGTTTCTGCATTGCACTATGAGCAATTTTTGTTGATGCACGTACACATAAACGCTTTGTGCATTCATGCTCCAACAAGACGTCATGTCCTCGTGATCTGTGTGCAATTGTGTACACATGGTGCACGTCAACGTAAGCTTATGTACGTCGTATCAAGACACGTCAAGGGCATGACCGTAGAAGCGAGGATTCACGATGGAAAATCACGATCACGGCGATGGAAAAAAAGGAGTTCTCCGCGAAAATCAGGTAAGTAGTTATTAACTGCGCTTGCTCTTCGTTCGCTTGTTCATCATTAACATTCAGCGCATCTATTGGCTTTTGCTTTACTAACCTTGATGCGGCATTAGCAATTTAATCCTTGAATTGTAGGGCGACATGGATATTACGTAATTATTAAAGTTCATCATTTCGTTTTGAATTTGGTGTTAATAAATGAAAACAGATAATCCTTGTTGTTGAATATTAGATATATTATTCAGAATAATTAGAGAATCGCTGCTATGAAAGGTTCTATTACATCAACCAGGCAAATAGAAGTGAAGATTTATATAGATGCCAGGTTTATATAGATGCCATTTATATAGATTAATAGATTGACGTATTATTTAGATGATAGATACCGTAATGGAGATTGACTTTTATTATCGAAACAAAATGTACCAGCATAATAGGTATCTCGCTAGGTGATGCAAGTTAGTGGTGAAAAATTTATAACAAGTGAACAATAAATGCATTCTTTCTAGACAGGATTGACCTCTAAATTTAAGATATTATGTTTTCTTTATAGAATTATTTGGAAACATACATACATGTTTCTGCTATTAATAATTAATAGAACTTTCTCACAATGTAAGAAAAAATTTAGTTCTAAATGGAATAAAAAAGTGAGTGCAGAGAATAATTTTCTAATTGCTTTGAATGATGTATTATACAAATCAAGTATGACTTTTAAGTCAATGGTTTATTAGTAGGTATATTCACAATATTTTTCACTGCATTTTTATTACATTACTCACAATATTTAAATTGTCTATAATATCTCATCGAGCTTGTTAAGAAACTAACTTCTGCCTCTTAAACAGACTGTACCTATATTACTGTTAATTATGTATCAATCAAGAATCTGACAAATGCAACAATCTCGATATAAACAACAGAGTAATTAGAATGAATCAGGATATCAAAGATAATCAGGCAATTTTCTAGCAACATAGATAGATCAAGTATATCATTTTTCCCTTATTTTCGCGGTTTTTATTCTGATTACTGTAGGAAATGCTGTTTATGATTTACATACGTAGTTTTGTGGTCGAGTAATAAAGGAAAGATAATAAATAATTGCGGTCATCCGTAAAAATGTTTTAAAATGTTCACTCGTTTATTAAGAACGGTTTCATTGGTAAGAGGTAGACTGCTGTCGATTGAAAAACTTATCTTTGACGCTTTAACGGCAGTGATGGCCCATTGTAACGCTCTTAAGTCAAGTGTGATAGCATGTGTATGTACTAGGTATCCTTGACATTCGCGTCCTTGTCAAGAATTTTTCCGCATTCGATTGTTGTTCCAAGCATGCTCCGTGAATTGCAAATCAAGTGGAGGGAGATACAGGATAGAGAGATGGAATCCGGAAGATAGAGGAGGATGAAGAGATTGGTTGTTGAATGGTGGACGGCATTCGACCTTCGTCGAGAACCACATAGTAGAAAATATGCATAAAAGCAAGCAACACGTAGAGACGGTATATGTATAATAGTGAATTTGAATGCTTATTTTCTATAATGAATTAGACATATAGTTCGAATATAAGAAAACATTTACAAAAAGTTTCTATGACCTATTCAAACACGAGCCATTTTATTAGAGTAATAACTCATTTTTTAATTGGATTGGAGTTTTTAATTGTCGATCGATCTCCAAGATTGTTTAAAGATTAGGTAAAACTTTTTGACTTTTTAGATTCAATAGTTGAAGTTTGTGTTGTGGAGTAGAGTGAAGAAAAGATTGTCAAAGAATAGAATTATAGATGGATTCGTGTAAAAATAGAACTTTGTTCCTTCATTTGTAATTATAATACTGTGATCGAGTCATTCTTGGATGTACATATTTACATTTCTTTAATAGACACGATTTCGTCGAAAATTGAAAATTTAAATAATATTGTATGTTTATGAGATTAATTAAAATTCAGTTAGAGTCTTTAATAAGCCATTATTACAAGATAATTCGTAATTCGTCTGGTTGTTCACACCTTGTTAGAGCATACAATTTCTCAAAGCACCAAGGGACCTTTTGTCAAATATTTACAACCTCGACTCTCCTCTCATAATCGACTGTATCTAAAATTGGGAAAACATTGCGTCTTGTCCTTCTGACTGTTCGAAATTTATGGCTCCTTGTGGATCGTCACGCCTTGAATACTCATAAACATTCAGCCCTGAAAAATCGTAATGGTTTTTCAGGGGTCGAAGGGTAACACGGCATGATTTTCAACCTCTGCTGCTCCGTATTCTTTCGGTTTGTTTTCTCAAAGAAACATACCGTGGAAAAAATATACACTTTTTCTTTAGTCACACTAAAGAGAAACCTTGAACCGTCTTTTCTTTGTTATGTCGAATTTACTCTAAAGTTTCAGAATCGTTCGATTCTTTCTTTAGACTCTTTGAATCGTTTGGTAAAAAGATGATCAGGAGACTTTTTAGATTTTTATGGGAACAATTTCTTTTGTATTATAGAATCAACACAATAAATGAAGTTTACAAAACAAGTAAATTTTACAAGTAAAGTTTCGAGTTGGTTGATCATTCATAATTATCCAGAAAATGAATGATTAATTTCTCTTTCTTAATTTTTAATTAATTACTAATTTTGATAGTAATACATATTAATTCTATTGTTAAGTATCAACCATTCAGAAGGCTTAAATTCTTGAAAACATTCAGATTTACGCATTCAAGTACGAAAATATCTCTATCCATTTTTTAAAAATTGTTTTACCATCCTGTCCTCTATCATTTATCAGATATATTATCCAATTTCTTTCGAAAAACTGATTCTTTTACCCTCCTCTTTGAATATGAAATATATATGAAATTGCATATGAGATTTACGAACATAAAATCCTCGTAAAAATCAGAGGCCTTCGAATTTACCTGCGGATAAAGATCATGGTCCTATTAATTACCATTTTTAAAATGTCTGGAAGCTTTAATGTCGATTGCTGTACGACTGGCGCGATCTTTCTGTCGAACAATGCCTCGTAAAGTGTCCGATAGTCTCAGACTCCTGTCGCACAGTCGCTTTACTGCCGTTTATTTGCAACAATGATAATGACAGAATGATTACGAGACGCATGCGATCGTTTGCCTCGTTATTAACGAAGGATTTTGGATCACGTTCAATTTGGATCACTACGTGAATTCTGGAGTTCGCGATGGCGTTTGTTTCCCGTTCTGACATTAAAATATATCGAGACGTAGGATATATCGAGTATCATCGAAGGTCAACTTGTTATTTAGTTGTTATTAATAACCGTGACTACTACGCCACGAGGAAATTTCGTTTCTGTGTCGCGTCAGGGCCTATACAAGCTATGCGCATCGGAAATAGTCGGTTTTCTGAATGAACAGTCACTATTCCAACTAACTATGTTCCGCCAAAGTTACATAGAACCACTGAAAATGTCTATTATTAAACGTGACTCCGAGAAATTCGATCGTTCGCCTCAAAATCTAGCCACTTGTTATATCACTGGGAATATTATAAGCTTTCGTCGGATGATGGAAAGATAGTGGGGAATTTTTTCTCCCAATTCTTTTTTCTCTTTTGAGACCAATGGGAGAGTACTTCTCAAGGCAACCTTCCAACAAATTTTCGTATAGACGTATGCTATTTTAAAAATTATGTTCAATCTATTTCTTCTCTCAAATTAACATCATAGTACTGTGATCTAGATCTCTAAAATCTAGACTTTTAATTTATAAAATGTAATTTATAAAAATATTTTTTTGAGGGCTACTATGAATATATTAGGATGTAGTGAAATATCAAGTTGGGATTATACTCCCTTTCAAATGTACTTTTTTTTCACTTTGTTGAAAATTTCTCGTTTCTCTACAAGAGATTAAAAATATGATTCATTGTTGATAAAACGTTGTTTATAGTGAATCCATCATTCTCACATCATTTAAAATAGGATCGTGATGCGTAGAGTCGACGAAAAAGCGTGTTGTGCCATTCCAGTTAGCAAATCCTAGCCGGTTCGATTTCCGTGTACGCTCCACTCCGGTTATTGTTAGAACAACGAAGTTACGTGCTCGTTTACTCAAGTGGTTGATATACTGGCTTTAACATGTGAGCACGTGTGTGTAAAACAGAGGCCAAAGTGCACCTATGCCCGCGATTTCAGGCTAAAAACGGAGCCAAGGATATCGGGACGATAAGCAGGGCTAGGGTGATCCAAGCCCAATACCGCGGCTGTTCTTTGTTGACCAAGGACTGTCATCAATTCTAAAATTGTTCTTTCAGTTTGTCCTATGATTTCGAACCAGCATCGCAACAAATCGTTTAATCGTCGTGCAGTCAATTAAAATATTCCGGTTATTCAACAAATGTACAAGATTTAATACAGTAGTTTTAATTTGCGTATCAGGAAGTAACAAAAAAATACGTTTGTAGAAGAAAATTAATTTACTTGTGTCAATATTCCACTGCACGTAGCTGTGATGGTTGGAAAAAATGAATTCAGGCGATTATCTACCTATTACGCACTAGTTAATACACGGATAATGAGTTAAATTTTTACGTGGAGATATTCAAAGAATTGGAGATTCGGATCAGTTTTACGATATTTTCAGTAAAAGATAAAACGATTATAGAAATGTAGAAATGATCATCCACATGTTCAATTGTCCGTATTAGGATTAAATCGTGCTTCAGCCACGACGTCGTGCCATTAGGAGAAGAGGCCGATTGAAAACACGAAACGCTCTCCCGTTTTTTGCAACGTGCTCCGAAAAATCAAGTAATTGCTTCGAAAGGTCAGCGCAACGAGATTTTCCTCTTTTGCTCTCCTCGACCAGCTTTATAACGATCGCTTGACTATGTATTTGAGCATCCTTGGTCGAGGCGAGGGTCGGCCAAGGTAATCTCAATGATTCGTCAAGGATCATCTTTATCCTAGAGAAAGCGAGACTTTCTAGAGATGTTTACGAAAGTCATAAGGTACCAAGGGCAGCTTCTCGAAACCG